AAATGGTTCATTAAAGATATTTCTGTATTTTTTCATAAGCCTCCACACTTTTCTGTGCAAATGAAGTTTCCAGGATCACACAGACTGTTTATTCCTATAGCATTCTCCAGATGAACAGAAGCAAGTAACAAAAGTCTGCAAAACAAATACAAGGAGGATCACTTTATCCAAGCTGCTGTGCAGTGCTGTTTTTCTCCTACACTCAAGGCCAATGCAGCTCAGAAAAATAGAAAGCACTCCTGTACTCTGTGTTGAAGTCATGGTTTAAATGGACATACGTGTTTTTAATGTAGTTTATTTGATCCAGATTAATGGCTCTTTTCACACTGGTATATCACTCATTCAAAAAAAAAAAAACCAAAAAACCAAAACACCAAGAAACAGAACAGCAGTCTTTGCTCAATTCACGTCCTCAGGTAGCAATGCTACAAAAAAGTTGATTTAAGGAAGGTTTGTATTTCTTTGGTGTCATGGTTTAACCTGGCTGGTCACTAAACATCAGGCAGCTGCTTGCTCACCCTGCCCCACCCCTGGTGGAGGAGGAATAGAACTGAAGAGGAAAAGGGAAGGAAACTTGTGGTTTGAGATAAGAGCAATTTAATAATTAAAATAAAATTGAAAGTAATGATGATGATAATAAAATATATAAAAGTCATAATAATATATGCAAACAAGCAATGCACAGTGTAATTGCTGACCAATGCCCTACCCCTCCCGGCTAGTGATCCTGAAACAGAGAAGTCCTGAAACCGCAATCCTGGAAGAGCGAGAGCCCTGAAAAGAGCGATCTGAAGAGAGCAAGAGTGAGCCACTTCCCGACCAACCCTCATCTATACACTGGGCATGACGTTGCTTGATATGAAATATAGTATTCCATTGGCCAGTTTGGGCCTCAATCCTAAACTCAAATCCTAAACTAGGAGTTGGGTCCTTTGTTCTGGCCGTGCTCCCTCCCAGCTTGTTATGCACTTGCACACTGGCAAATGATGGGAAGCTGAAAAGTCCTTGATGTTTTAGCAACAGCTATAAACGTCAGTGTGTTATCCAAATACTTTTCATAACAAATCCCATACTAAATCCAAAACACAGTGCTATTCTAGCTAGTAAAAAGAAAACTAACTCCGTCCCAGCTGTAAACCAGGACATTTGGGCATGCTGGGTACCTGTGTCCCCTTAATTCACTGTGGAGTACATTTGAAGAACCCATACTAGCTTGGTTGGTACCAGGTCTAACTCTGGCAACCGGTACCCATTGCCCACCAGGCTACCCACAGAAGCTGCTCTCAAGAGTAGGGCTGAACTGTCTGGGACTTGGTAGAACTCAGGGTCTCCAGGGGGCACAGTGGTGTCAGAGCAATTCCCCCAATTCAATATTTGTTCCTACTGTGAATCTGGTTCATAAAATGGCTTCCAAATGCATACGCTTCTTGAAACTGAGTTGTTATTTCCTATTTCAAGTGACCAGACCTTTTTCTTTTATTATAGTGAACAAATTACAGGGTTATTAGAGTATTAGTGTTCCATAGCCTTCTAGCCAGATGATATTATTGCTTGACTGAGCACCAGTGTTATTGTTGAGTGATGTTGAAATGGTTTGCTCACAATCACCCAGTAATTCTTATCTATGGAGATTCAGGCCAGTGATCTATTCACTAAGCCGTATAACTTTTCATTATTTGCTCATTACTTTTGCCAGATTTTAGTTACTTGGTCTGGAATTTTCCTTCCTTAGTATCTGCCTGAAGCAGTAAGTGTCATCTCTTTCCAGGAACAAGATCAAGAAATGTATATTGCTTTCTGTATATAGGTTTTAAATTAATTAATAAAATAATTCTTACAAGCCCTATGAGAAATTATTCTGCTCTGGGATATAGAGACACCATTGAAATCCAGGAGAAAATCTTCCTTGAGTCATGGACGTGTTTTCATTCTTCTGCTCCCTACCTAGATATTTTCAGGTTATAATTTCCCCTCCAGTATGCCAGTTGTTAGGAGTTTCAAACAACCGTATGTAGAGCTTGGTCCCTAAATGCTTTTCAGTTTTCTTCTGCTGTAGGTTTGCAGTTTCAAAGCAGTAAGAATGAAAGTACTTGCCCTGCAATTTTGGGAGATGTTTGTAAGTAGACACTAGGGGCAGTGTGGACGCTCTTTGTTGTTAATAGTGCTCTTCCTTTTGAGGCCAAAAAGATTCCTGTGCAACAGAATGAAAATTGGACATGAGGAAAAGGATAGTAAAGATTAGAGGAATAGGAAGCCAGAGGGAATGGGAAGGGAATCTGTGAAGTGACTGGGGAAATACTATCTGCTGAGAACTTAGATGGGAGAAAAAAAGCATTAGTTAAATGTGTATGTGTAGGGAGACTAGGATTTAGGAGTCAAGCAGCTGAGAGTGAAAGGAGATAAAAGGGGAGGAACTTTGGGTTTGATAGACTGTGCAGGATTGGACATCTCAACTTTTGAGGTAATGATAGGAATAAAATTGCAGAGATGGAAGTGTGGGAAGAGGGAACAAGTTAATTTGGTGAATAAACTGGTGTAAGCCAGGAAGTGTGGAGAGGGTGTGGAGAAGGAAGACCATGCTCTGTTTAGTCCAGGAGAAGAATCAGTTCTGATCACTAAAGGAGAGTCACCAAATGTCATCCAGAACAAAAACCTAGAACAAACCTCATAATTCTAATGGAATCTAACAACTGCAGGCTCAATAGAGATGTGAGTTTTATGACATATTATTTTTCCCCGTAATCACCAACTTTGAGCTCTTCAGTTACACTGGCAATAATTACTCCCCTTCCTTTTTCCCCTCTGGGGCTCATAATTTTCTTAAGTTTCCCTTTGCTTATAGCCTACTCTGCTCTGCAGGTGCCAGCAATTCTTGTCTTTCAAACTGTCTTGTATTAACATAGTTCAGTTGAATTCAGAGCAGTTGTTCGTAACCTTTACCTTCTGTTACAAGAGCTGAAAAGAATTTGTATGTGTTAAGTTGTTCTCTGTTTTTCCTTCACTATAAGAATTGCTCTTGTGAAGTTGTTACTAAGCCTTACAAACTTCACTTTGCAAGAAATACTTGTTCCTCTGAGTGCTTTCAGTGTTGTTTGCAGGTTTGTTTTTGCACAGTGTTGACAACAGAGTGAGGTTTTTTTTTATGTTTTCTGCTGTTTTGTGAGATCAAATGGGGGAGGTTGCGATGATGATGATGGTTATTATTATTTCTTTTGGGAATACGTTAAAAGGTAGAACGTGGATAAATGGAGCCTCAAGGGTGACTTGTTTTCATTTAGCTTGAACTAGGTCCAGCTTCTAAGGGGAACTTGATTTTTAGGTGCATGTTTTTGCAAAGTGTTTTTTAAAGTTATAATTCCAGAGATCTCAATAATGTGTGTTTGTTTTTATTTAGGAACACATTTAAGGAATGTTTTTGGTGGGTGAATGTAAAATAAAATTCTTTGGCATATTCAGTGTCAGCAAAAATAAAGTGGAAGAATGTTATTTAGAGAATGGACTTGGTTAATTTTTATGATTTACTTTGTAAAGAAGTGTCTTTACGCTCAGTTGCGAGATGGGAGAGTATGATTTCTTAAGCAGTGTTCGCTTTTTACTTTGCAAATGTTGGAAGGTGGCTAAAATTTGTTTTCAGCATGGGCCACTGCCTGCTTGTCTTTGGGTAACTCAAATTCAGAAAGTACTTTTCTTCAAAACAACATACTGTTGCCGTATTAATTATCACTGAGTGTAAAACAGGGCGACACCTTCGTGCCATTGCTTCTATAACATTCAAGGTGTTGTTCTAACTTTTTTTGCCATTTTAAATTCTCACTAAATATTGTTTATCTTTTTTTAAATTTTATTATTTTTAGTTTATTTTATTAAAAAAACCCCTAACGAAACCTTGCTCTCATGTGCAATGTGACTGTCTTAGCTTGTGAATATTTTGAAATTTGTTTGCAAAGCAATTGAAAACATTCATTTATAAGTTGTTAGGGGAATGAAGCAAAGTCAGGGCTTCACTCATTTTTTGTTTGTTTTAGGGAATTTGATCTTATGTCTTATAAATTACTGTTCACTGAGAAAGTATTCATAGTACTTTATTCATACAGTCATAATTTACCTTTTGAATATAATAGATAAGGTTAGAGTAAGAATGTGATGATGTCATATATTTTAAAAATGTAGCCTAATGGATATTTCTAATAGCTTTAATGAAAAATAATTTCAACATTTGAACCCGGTTTTCAAGTCGAACGATAAATGCCCCTCTGGTAACTTAGAGGCCATAGATGCTTTCATTCTAGGCAGCTGCATACTGGGGGCATACACTTTATCTGCATTTCAGTATACTTAGGTATCTGTAAAACACAAGACAAAAAAAAAAGAATCTCATTTTCAAAATAAGGAGTATTTATTATGTTGCCTGCTTAGAAAGTCTTTTCCATGTGTATCATGACCTGAATGAGACAGCTGCAGAACTTGGCCAAGCAGAGCTTCAGCAGTGCGTGCAATGGCTTTGTTGGTTGTTTCAGAGAAGTACGACAGACGTACATAGTGAGCTGAGATGTACGTGAGAGAAAAATGTTGATGAAAGACACTAAATTTAAAAATGTGTGAATGATTTTGGCATTTCATTGAACTTTGATCTCTAGTAAAACTTACGAGGTTGTTTTACAGCTCCAGTGTAAGTGTGCATCTTTCACTTGAGAGTTTTTCATTAAAATTCTTTAGATGATTTAAAAGTTTTACACACAAAAGTTCAGAGCGAGCAAGATTCTCCTGTCTACCTGTGAGAGATGAGAGGAATTTGACTGCACAATTCTTATTAAAACTAACAGGCATTATATGATTTGATCCACAGCCCCTGTCATGAAATGTCTCTGGTGCAAATTTCGTCGTATGATGAGTGATTGTGTTCTATCTGCTGATCTGTTGCTGTTTTTGAATGATAAGGGTGTTGCAGCATTAATGCTTGGACTGTATGTTATGCAGTACATTTTTGTACTGACTCTGAAATGTGTTTTATTTGCAGGGATATTAAACCAGACAACATTTTGATGGATATGAATGGACATATTCGATTAGCAGATTTTGGTTCTTGTCTGAAACTTATGGAAGATGGAACGGTAAATTAGAAAGAATGATATATTCCTAAACACCTTTTCTTCAGTCCTTTGCTAGATGCTAAAATGCGTGCTAAAAAAGAGAAAAGGTGTCTTATGTCTAACAAAACGGAATTGTAATGGTGTGTTGGTATGTAACTAACCTCAGTTCAGTATGACTGCGCTTTGCTTGGATTTACTGTATATTAAAAGCTTTTTAGATGCATATAGTCAACTCATGAATAAATAGAGAAGCTGCACTATCAGTACTGAGTAGGTATTTGTTGACGAACGATGAATCTCTCAGTTTTGAGCTCTGAGCTCTAATCCATATTGAAAATGTGAGCTTTAGTATAAGCAGGATGAGATACAATTAGCGTATCATCAGATTCTAGTAGTGTATTTAAATTTGCACAGTATATAGTGGGTGTGACTGGAATTTAATTCCAGTGTGTTAATCATGTCCCAGAGTGTCACCAAGTATTTGAGTTAATATGTGTGATTACCTAATCTGTAATTACTTAATAACAACTCTAAGCCTGGGAATTGACAGTTTCGTTCTTTCTCTGTTGTTAAATATTTGTGAGAGTTGAGCAGAAGTATGTTATTGGGATGCCTATTGATGTTATTGGGATGCCTTGGATGCTTACGTATTTCTTTATGAATTTAGAAGCCTTTTTATTGTGCTTAGCTGTTATTGTAACCAGAACACTAGTCTGAATTTGTTTGTGCATGCACAGTGCCACAAACAGCAGTGTCTGTAACGATGAAAGTTGATTTTAGTCCTGGAAATGTAACTTCTACAGGTCCAATCTTCAGTGGCAGTTGGAACACCAGACTACATCTCTCCAGAAATCTTGCAGGCCATGGAAGATGGAAAAGGGAAGTATGGGCCCGAGTGTGACTGGTGGTCCCTAGGCGTTTGCATGTATGAAATGCTTTATGGAGAAACACCCTTTTATGCTGAGTCCTTGGTGGAGACCTATGGGAAAATAATGAACCACAAAGTTAGTGCACTTTCTCTTTCTGTCTCTCTCTAAGCTAATTTTTAATGAGTAATAGAGTAACTTGGAGGCTTATTTAAAAACGAGGATTTATGTACTAATTATATTAATGTTCATGAATGTAGAACAAAAAATATGTTTCCATGTAGTAAGTTTATGGTTATGGATTGCAGATGGCTTTGTTGTAGGATAAAGCAGTTCAAAACTAAAAATCTGGATTTGGAAACAGGGCTGTTAGTTCTCTCTATGGAGTAAATCTTGACTGCATTACATCACTCCTTTTGCGCTACTTTCTTCTGGCGGGATCCATTGTTTGGCTTATGCAGAAGATTCTTAAATGTTCTTCCATGTGGAGGCAGCTGTAGAATTCAACAGCGTAAGAGAAATTTAAATAAAGAAGAAAAACTAGGAAACAAATTTCAATAGTTTTCAAAAGTTTCAGTAGTTTCTTTGGGGAAGTCTTTTTCCTAGAAACCTTGCTGCATATATTTAAGAACCAGAGTATTTGCATGTTTCTTTTTCTACATAAAAATTTTCACTAAGAAGGGTGATTTTTCTGAATTTTTCTTGGTAATAAACTATTTTCTCTAATTTTAATCTTTAAGGAGAGATTTCAGTTTCCTGCTCAAGTGACAGATGTCTCTGAAAGTGCAAAGGACCTCATCCGAAGGCTCATTTGTAGCAGAGAGCATCGACTTGGACAAAATGGAATAGAAGACTTTAAGAACCATCCATTTTTTGCTGGGATTGACTGGGACAACATCAGAAACTGTGAGGCACCTTATATCCCGGAAGTCAGCAGTCCCACTGATACGTCAAACTTTGATGTGGATGATGATTGCTTAAAAAATTCTGTAAGTATAGCATTAACGTTTTGACAAATTTTCTTTTGTAGTATACTTTACAACAAAATATAGAATCATAGAATCATAGAATGGTTAGGGTTGGAAGGGACCTCAAAGATCATCTAGTTCCAACCCCCCTGCCAAGTTTATTTCAGTGTGTTCACTGTGTTCTGCATAAACAGCAAGGTGCTACTTTGAAGAACTGCAAGGAATACATTCATAGTTTGGAGGCTGTTCCTCCAAACCTGTATGTGTAAGCATAACTTCAGGTCAATTTTATAAATTCATTGTAACTGTACACATTTAACACATACATCTGTTATTTTCAGTAACAAGTTCTTACTGTCCAGGTCTTATAAACAATAATATATTTACATGTAGATAGTCTGCAAGACACAGTATTATTGAGACTTGTACTAAGTTTGCATAGTGCATTTTTTTCTGGTGCTCTACTCTAATTGCTCTAATTGCTTATATCTCCATCAGATTCCATTCAGTTCATTGCCACTAAAATTTCCCCAGCTTGTTTTCTGACTTGAGTTTTGGGAAATACAGGAGAAATCTTACAGCCATTTCTTCAGGAACAGTCTTAGTGAGAAAGAAATGATTTTGCCTTTGCTTTAAAAGCTTTGCAACTACTCTTTTTAAACAACCTTAGTGTCTTATGTTTGTTGAAAGATGCAGAAACCTGCTGTTTACATGTGAGGTGAAGCATTTTCACTGTTTTTTTGTTTCCTGAACTGCCTGTGCATCTCAGTTCCTCTGAGATTCCCGGACCTGCAGATAAGAGATTGGAAACATGAATTGCTGTAGGCTGGATGATCATTATTTGCATTTCCATTGCTCCAGCTGCATAGTAAAACATGGAAAACACTTTGACTAGGTGAAATGCAGTTGCAGACATATGTGGTATAGAGTGTTAGTCTCAGAGTCCTTTCTTATAGGCAAATTAAGCAAATCAGTCTACCTGCATAGGACAGCTTGCTTTTTTTTTTTCCATTTTTTCCTCAGTTTTTCCTCACCTGCATCTCCTATTGCCTAATCTCCCAATTGAGGCACTCAAAAGGTGCCTGTGTGGTGTGAATGTTTTCCCATTGCAAAGAAGTAGGAAGAAAGAATGTTTCTGTGATGAGTTGTTGGACTCAGCTGTGAAAACAGAGTCCGATTTTTAATTTGCTTTAGAATTTTGAGGGTAAAGAGCAATGCCATTGGACTATTTGAGACGGACACTAGTTTCTGGAGCTTCATTTTCAGTTTCCTCATTTGAAACAAGTGAAGGTAGTTTTTTGTTTTGTTTCATTTCAGGTTATATTTTTACTATTTCTTTTCTCACTTAGCGTCTCTGAAAAAACTTAGCCTAAGGAATTGCATGACTGAGAATATTTTAGTTTTTGCTTCAACTAGTGGACATTGTATTTAATATTACTTCCCCTCAAATTCTTATATGTAACTTGAAGGTGTTTTCCCTGCTGTCTTTCATACATGTCTTGTGAGGAAAGTTCACGTACTTGCATTACTATTACACAAGTCAGCACCACAGATAAGCCCGTGAGACTTTTTTTTTTCCTTTAAATTCTTTGCAAGGTTTGAATGGCATACAGCAAATGAGGAATGCCCAGTGCTGAAGATAAAAGGCAATGTTGAAAAGCCATGATTGTTATTGTTCTCCCTGAACTTGGAATGAGACTGTGGTCCCATGGAAAAATTATATATATGTAATAATGAAATTCAAACAGTATGCTAAAAGTATACACATAAACACAAAGGGCAGTGTTGTTAGGCAGCCTGAGTTCGCCAGGTTTTTAACCTTTAACTGTTTGGTTCAGTAGCTTTGCTGATAGGCATGATAGGCATAAATTCAGCTATAATTTGGTCAGTATGGTAATACAGTTGAATTCACATAAATAGCAGGAAAGAAGTCGTTTGATTTCTGCCAAAGAATCAACAAAGAAAGAAATTCTTTTACAGGATCTTACATTGTCATCAATAGAGACAATATTTTAGAACCAACATTGTTACCAGTGTGGTAACTGGAAACTGTCATATAGACTGTTAAAATCACACAATTATGCATTTGATCTCTTTAAAAGTTATCCGTAAAGACAGTTTTGAAACTTGAATCTATGAAATATGAAAATAAAATATAAAGGAGAAGTAAAGAATTTTAATTTTCCTAACTGTCTTGTGTTATGATTGAAATTTTTATTATCAGTTACCGGAAAGTTTAAGGCTTTGTAATTTGATCTTCTTGTCCTTAGTTTCCAATTTAGCCTTGAGATACTTGCAGAATCGAGCCATGTCATTGGTGTTGCTTTTTATTCTGGGAACTCTTTTTCAATATGAAGATTTTTGCCTACTAAAAGGTCAAGGTTCTGATGTAAAAAAATCGTTATATTACCTTTTCGTAAAATTTGGAACCTTTTAGGACTTTCAGTGTGATAATCTTCATCTTAGGAAGTTTCTTTTGATGGCTATTAAGGCCATCTCTAGGATAGCAACATAAACCTTACATGTTGGGGTTAAACAGGAAACTTTTAACAATATTTAAGATTATTAGAACTTAAAATGGTTCAAATAACATAGCAACGGAGTTATTTTAGCCTGGGGAGAAGCTCAAAGACTTGTCTTGGTTTGTAGTAGGAAGAAGAGGCAATGAAGGAAGAAATGGTCGAAGCACTAATGGGGTTTGAAAACCCTGTTGTATTACTTCTTTCTAGTACATGTCTGGCTGTTGTTCTCTCCAAACAGAGATAGTGCACTCAGAAGTGGGGCTGGTAAATCTACAGGCAGGAAGCCCTGCTGACTAAATAGTAGTGAGGAGTGTAGGATGGAATAAAAGGTGATACTCTTTGTGCTAAGAGCTTCTTGGAAAAAAGAAGGAATAAATTTGCTTGTAATATGTGTGATATTCTGCTTTCCTCCAATGATAGCCTATTTAATTAGAAAAGCGTTTTTATGCCAGCATGCTGTATTTTTGTGTATTGCATGTATCATAAATAGATTTAAGTGATGCTGTTTCATATTTGGGCTGTAGATAATAAGGATACCGGTGAATATAGTTAATATGATGTTATCACTAACACTTTGCATATAGTTAAACTCAAAAATCTCTTTCTTTGAAGTCCAGTAGGATATTATTTACTCAACTGTCCTGTTATTTTTCTAGGAAACAATGCCTCCACCATCACACACTGCATTTTCTGGCCATCATTTACCGTTTGTGGGTTTCACATATACAAGTAGCTGGTAAGTTAAGAGTTCCAAAGTTGTCTGTAGGATAGTTTCATACTATCTTAAGTTTCTGTCTCGGAAAACAACTGCAAACATACCAAAGAATGTGGCTTATTAGGGGAAATTACTAGGCCATAATCTAAATCTCTATCTGTCTAAAAGAGTAAGCTCTCTGCAGGTAAAATTTACATTAATTTAAAGGTCAGCACCTGTGGTCAGAGGAGTTTTGTTGAGAAAGGTGGTTTTCAGACAATGTATGAAGTTAACTCCATATGACAAAAGTTAAGACCAGATGTGTGGGACCCAGAGAGAACTTTGCTTATTAGACTTTAAAAACAGGTTTATTTCTACTGCTTTGACACTCTCCTAAGTCTGAATGGAAATTTTTTAGAAATTACTTTTATCAATATTTGGTAGTTATCTGGTATTTGTCATGGTCATCTCAACTGCTAAATTAAACGCAACAAGGAAATCCATGTACAATCCTTGATCATTTATAACAACAAATAAATAAAGAATGTTTACAACCATTGAAAAACCAGGCCTGTGTTTCTGCAAACACATGTGCTTAGTGCTGGTTATGTGACATGTCCTGTAGACTTCAAAAGGATTATTTGCATAAGTTAGTAGTAGTATGTGTACATCAGCATCCAGAGAATCGGGGCCACAGCGTTTCTGATGTATGCGTGCCCTAGTTGTCATGTGATAATTTCACACCATTTGTTGTGGTTGTTGTCTTTAAAACATTTGAGAAACTTGATTCATTACTTTAAAATAAACTGTTATTGTAATCTTAGATGGGGATTTTTTGCTATCTGGCTAATGTAGACTGTCCATAATGATAATTTTTAATCAGAAGTTCGTTCACTTTCATGTAACAAAAAATGCATTGAGGAGATCAGTCATGCTAGGTGAAAATTATTTCAATTTTTAATAAGCACATACTAACAAGGTATTATTTGACCGTATAATAAATTACATAGTAATTAACAATTTTAACAAGTGTTTATTGGTTGATATAATTTTTGAATTATGATTATAAACATTACCTTTTGTAGAATCCAATACTGTTTAATTTTTTTCCCCCAGTGTGCTTTCAGACCGCAGCTGTCTAAGACTGACAGCTGGACCACCCTCCATGGATCTTGATGCCAGCATTCAAAGAACTTTGGAGGATAGTTTAGCAACAGAAGCTTATGAGAGGAGAATAAGACGCCTAGAACAGGAAAAGCTTGAACTTAGTAGAAAACTGCAAGGTACAGTCATTAAAACAAAATAAATCATTCACTTTTTGACTTAGATTAGCTTGCAGCTTTTTGAGGTTATGGTTTATACTGTGGAGAAAAATAAATATACCTCCTGGAATGCTTTCTTGCAGAAGAGAATTCTCTTCATTATTTACGTTGACAAATTAAACTTCTGTTGCTCTTTATGCCTGAAATATCCCATGTATGCAACCTCTTATTACATGCTAACTTTCTTCACACCATGCCTTGGTTACTATGACATAAAGATTTCATTCTTAAAACCTCTAATAACTTAATTTGTGCATCTGACAATTACTGAAAAATTGGCACTTAGTAGTGGGAAATTGCAAATTGTAGAATACTCAGTGGAAGGGCTTTTTGGCATGTCTTAATTTATCAGTGATGTCTTTTTAACCTCCTCAGATGTCAGACATATAATTTATACCTCTCTCTTCCATCTTTTTCTAGAGTCCACCCAGACAGTCCAGGCTCTGCAGTATTCAACGGTGGATGGCCCAATAACAGCAAGCAAAGATTTAGAAATTAAAAGTTTGAAAGAAGAAATTGAAAAGTTGAAGAAACAGGTAACAGGTATGTTATAAATATGAATGTAAAAATTGTAACAGGAAATAATATTTTGTCAAGATTTTTACTCATAATGTAGTATTAGTTTTACTTTGATTTCTAAAAGAGTCTTCCAGTCTATTTCTGCTTCTTATTTTACCCTTTGCTCTTCATTGATAGCTCAACATTTTTTACAAATTCAACTTAATATTCAGTACTTCAGTAATTCCAGTTATAAGGAAGATTTCAATGACTTCTGCTATTAGTGGTAAAGTTCCACTAGTTTTAAACTGTGTTGCTACTAATTTACGTGGATGTGAATCAGGCTCTGCCTGAGAATCTGTGAAACCATGACCAATTTCCTTAGTACGACCTTTTTTATTTTATTTTTTTTTCTCTTTTTCCGTTGTCCTGCAATGTGTACTGCAAGAGCAGATGGAGCACTGGTTTGTTTATTTTTGACAGTATCAGAAGTCACTACAGTCCTTCCAGAAGTCGTAGTCACTGTAGCATACCTTACATTCCCTCCTTTTTACATCTCTGCACTCTGGTGTGCAGGTACATAGGCAGCAAACTGGAAGGAAGGAAGGTGTTTCTTGTTTTTGTGAGTAGACATGAGAGGTGAAGACTTTAGCCTAGCAGTTTTAATAGTCTTAAAAATATTTGATGGAAGGATGATTTGTTATAATTTAAGCATCAATTGATGTTTTTCATTATCTCATTTTCTGTTGAATTTCGCTTGGAAGGGCCAAATTTGTGAGATGCGATCACAATTTCAGTTATATTTTCTTTGAAACCACAGAGGTTTATAGTGTGCTGTTGCGTAGCACACTTAACTGGATGTGGAGTAAAAGCTACTTCAAGCTGGAGAAGTTGTTTTCTGAGTATTTTCTTGGAACAGTACTTTTAGAAAGGCACGAGTTTTCTGGGAGGTGGGCTGTGTCCATGAAACTGCAGTGATACTGAGTTTTCCAAGTGGCAGGGAGCAGTGAAGGGTGTTTTCCATGAGGACACCGTGGGCTTATTGAGGCTGCAGTTCCATGAGCAGCAGAACTGACCAAACAAAACTCTGCCATCAAAAAGGGTCCTGCTCACAGCTGTGTGGCCCCTCCTCTCTCTGTGCATGCCCTGGACTCTCTCTTGAGTTTAATTTGCTCAGTTAAACAAGGAAAGAACTACCTAGATGTAGAGAATTTAACCAACTCATAATCTGATGAATCAGCAGAAGGTGGGAATAGGAGCATGTGAGGAAAGGGAAATGAGAGGGGGAGGAACCACTTCTCAGCTCTGGTGTCAATGAGCTATCATTTCTTACAAAACTGAACGTATATTTCCTTTCTGTTTGATTCCTTTGCTTCTGAGAGTTCATGAAAATTTTATGATAACTAAAAATTTGGCTATCAAGTGTCTCAGTACTTCAAGTTTGAAAAATGTTTTTGACATCTGTGCAGATAAAGAGCTGAATTTCTTTAATTAATGTTATACTGCCTTTCTTTAGAACTCCCAAACTAGTCAAAAAGCAAAGACGTACTTAGCCCAGTATCCTGTGTCTTTACAGAGGCTACTGGAGACATTTAGGCAAAGATTCAAAGAAATTCCATATATTCAAATCCATTTTTTCCAGCCTTTCTCTCTCAGATTCCGGCAATTCATGTTTTAAGAACTTCCAGAGGGAGAACTACTATTACACCACCATGTTGAACATAGCTGTTTATGAAACAGTTTGCTGTCCGTTTAGCTGACTTTAAAGGCTAGCTACTAATACTGATATTCAATAGTCTTGGTGCTCTGAATTAAGATAAAGGAAATTTTCTCTCATAGTGATATATAGTATAGCACTTCTGCTATCCTGCTCCGTAATGGTTTCTTCAAAATAGGATCTTGAGAGCAGAGACATCTTGAAAGAGAAGGAAAGGAAGTATGTTTTTTTATTTAGGAAAATTAGCACGATTGATAGAGACTGTTAGGTTTCAGGACTAGAACCATAGAAACAGGGAGGACAAATCTGATTTTCGTCACGAAAATCTGAATAGGAAAATGTCTTCATTTTATGTGAGAGAAAAATGAGGCACAAGCAGCAGTAGATGGATCTCCATTATATGTCCATATCTTACCTGTGGCAAGGGAAAAAATACAGCAAGAAAGGTTGGAGGAAACTACAGAAAAGATTTGTTCTGGTTTATGTTTGTGAAAAGAGTTTATTCAGTTCCTGAAAGTGTCAGGAATTCCAGCCGTGACACCCACAGAAAGAATAACTTGAACTTAACTTCCAGACGTTTTAGTTGGTGTGTTTAGACTCTGCTGCTACATTATGGGGCCAGAGGCATGCTATGAGTGAAATGCAGACTACAGCACATAGATTATATGCTGTTACAATTGTGTAGTCTGAAATAGTCTGTTACAGATACACAGTTGGACATCTGCTCTGGTATGATGCAGCAGTTCTGCATTGTACCATAACCATTATTTTTGGATGTGAACATGGCTTAACTAGCTCAGGGAGGATCACTCTGGTTTGAGCGATGCCATGCTGGCGCTGTGTCAGGACAAAGGTTTTTGTGAAGTTTCTCTCCAGCCAAATGTCCCTCCACTTGCTGCTGTAATGAGAAGAAAGACAACATGATGAGAAAATCATCAGATCTGGTTTTGGCTCTTTGGGACCATTGGAAAGCAACATCTACAAAAACAGCTTTTGAATGGGACCAGCCCTTCATAGAAAACCATCAGGATCAGCTTTAAATTGTGTTTTATTCTTGACTATTGAGCTGCAACTTAGATTTTAGTTCATTGCTGCAGGTACTACTCTTTTCCTTTGGCAGTGAAAAAAAAGATGTAGGAATGTTCCCCAACACAACTGATATCTCTTTTCGTATTTAAAAGAAGTCAGTTAATATTGAGAAGGTTTTCCCTTAGTATCTGTTAAGGATTTTCTGCTTCATGCCACACACGTATTTGTATATTTATTCCTAGATACAATATGTGCTTTTGGTTTTTGGATTGGAAGTGAATATTATGATCAAATGAGAAAGACATAGAGTTGTCTAATCCATCCTCAGTCACCACATAACTTTCCCAGTATATACTTGAATGCCTTGTCTGGTCATCAAATTAGACTAATTACAGCCATTAGTTAGAAGACACTCATTTGTGCCTTGAGTTGTAACGAATACAAGCTAATTTGATAAAATTGGAAAAAGAGAATGTTGTATTTTGCTGGATTTTATCAAGGGTTTTTTGTGAGATAGATATTAGAACTAAATTAGTGACAGAACACAGGCACAAACCTAATGATGATCATGTCTGAATGCATCCAAATTTAGGGGAGCTAGTTCCAAGTTCTCTGGGTGGTCTTTAAAATATTTAAATTTCCAAATCTATATCTGATGAACTTTAAAGAATGTTCAGTTCAGGTGCAGAACTGAACTTTACACTTTGGGCTTGTTTCTTAGGCAATTAAAACACTCATCCTACAGTGAGTGTTTGCATATATTAGCTGAAATGTTAGCAACAACTAGGGTGATTAGATGGAGAATTAGCATTGACTACACCTACGTCACAACTAGCTTTTGATTATATTCTTTAACCTGTTTTACTGCCTATTCTGGAGCTGTAAGAGTAAACACCTGCTTAAAAAGATAATAAAAAATCAACATGAAATTGTGTCAAATTCAGGAGTGTCACTAGGGGGACCTTGGAAAAATACATTTTTCTTGTCTATCTAGTTTTCCAGGAAATGACAAGCTAGCATATGCTTTCAATTTTTGAGGTCAAAGTTACAATTTTTGTTCGCTAAGTTACATAGGAGAAAACTTTGAGGAATCTTTCATATTGCCAAATATGTAAAGGGCAACGATCGAAGAAAAAACCAGAGCTGTGGAACAAAGTAGTTCATGCACGGAAGAGAGATTTATCTTGGCTCTGCAGAGCCATATGTAAACTTTCTTTTTGCTGGTGACTTCAGAGTAGACTGCATAAGAGAGGCAGTTAATAATTTCTGGCTTTGAGCTACATCTCTGACTTAAATGCATTCTTTTAGATTTTTAAACAAGAGTCAATGAATTAAAACAATAGTGAATATTTGTCTGGATATAAGCTAATGGTATTCATTTGCTTATAAATTTCTTGTGTTTCATAAATTACAACTCTTAGAAATGTGTGTATTTTTATGTTTGATTTCTCCAAGAGCCAGTCTCTTAGGGTTGTGTTTATGAAAATGTAGTAAAAGGCTCTTATTTAGATTATGGATGGGTTCCTGTTCTGTGGGTAAATACGTATGGTCTGAAAACCTGCTGCAGCTGAAATCAAAGGCAAAATGTCCAATGGTTTTGTAGAGCTGAGAATTAACCTGTCTATCTATATGTCTTGCTTTAAATTAATGTTTTTAAGTGAAGGACTAGGAGAGGAAAAGCACACCGTCTAGCTAGAAATTTTCAGTTGTCATATTTTATGGATCTAAAACTTTTCATGTTGTAGCACTTGGGCGTATTGATACGACATTATTTAGCTGCGCCTTAGAAACGTACTTTCACTGTGCAACTGACAGTTGGTAAGAAACTGGCTGTAATAGTTTTCCTGTATTTATAGTAGTAATAAAGCAGATCACATAAACATAAGTGGTTTTCACACTAGAAATAAGTAAAATCATCTGAAGTTAGTTTTAAGTGTATCAACAGGAGAACGCTTGCCAGCTCTTGAGTGACCCATTACTTTTACTGTTTCTTTTTGGAGGAATCTGGGGGGAGGAGGGAGACTGTTTATAATTACAGTGTAATAAAAGATGCATTGTGTATTACATCACAGTGCATAAAAGTCAAATGTATAGGTCATGTTAAAGCATACATATGGAATTATGTATGGTGCAGGATTATTGTAATGCGAAAAGACAAGTTGTTATCATTTTCTATGTTGTTTTGCAGCAATCTATGGCCTTTTATTCTGTTGTGTTAAAAGCAGATAATGGCAGTGGAAACAACTTACTCCCTGTTCTAAACCAGATAAGAATTGCATTATTTTGTAAATAAATGGAAACCAGAATAAATACTGAAGGGGCTTCAAGCAGCTAGGCGATGCTATTCTAGAATAACGTTTTTTTCTTTAACATATTTACAAGTCTGCTGCTTTTTCTAGATTCTGGTCAGCTAGAACAGCAACTTGAGGAGGCCAGCACTGCAAGGCGAGAGTTGGATGATGCTTCCAGACAAATAAAGGCTTTTGAGAAACAAGTCAGAACACTGAAGCAAGAGAGGGAAGATCTTAATAAGGTAAAAGCATTTTGTCAGCAACTCTTCTAAACCCTAAAGACTGTTTTATTTTTGTTCATTTTGCTTGAAATGACTTTCAAGTGTAAAATTAATGAGCAGACAACAAATGTGTAGCGTGACCTACTTTGCTTTCTGCCTCTTTTCTGAAGACAAGGAAATTATTTAACGCATTGTATGTGTGACTGCTGGGTGGTCCTAGGTGACTGCTTCTAGATAGTGAAACAACTCCATGATCCAAATTGCTTGGTGGCTGCAGAGAAAGTTTTATAGTTTCAGATTAAGGTGATAATGATAGTGGTTAGAAGACAGAGTAGAGAAGAACTATTCCAGACAACTAATTTAATCTGAAGTATGGATGAGACTGTTGCAGGGGAAAAAACGTTAAGAATATGGTATTAGGGCTGTGTCACAGAAGTGTTTCCAGAAGAGAGATGTGAAAAATTGCCCAGATACAAAGATTGAGAAGTAATTTGAAATAACTACGGTTAAAGAATACCGGATTTTATTTCTTCTTCTCTGTCTCCTCGATTCCTTGTTTTCTTATTTATAACATACTGTTGTCTTTCATGGCTCTTTTTTGTATTCATGGTTAAATCAAGTTGAAATTGTAGTCAGGTGTGAAATACATTAACCTGTTACTCATCATTATTATATTGGCCCAGTATTTTAGAGTCCACACTCAATGTTGATGTGCCAGCTGTATTTAACACTGTTTCTTTTAACCCTTAAGGCTCTTAATACCTTGAAAGGTACCAGTTTGTCCAAGAAAGATCATCTCTCTTCTAAAACGACTTGTAGTGATGAGGACCTCTTTTTAACAATCTTAGAAAATGCTTTTAAATTTGTATAGATGTCAACAGTGCCAAATATTAATTCTTCCTGCAGCTCTTCTCTTCATCTTCAGACTTTTCCTTGCTTCTTTGTTTTGCTTCGGTTTGGCTGAACATCATTAAACCATTTAAACTGTTGTGGTCTCTCATTCATAGCGTAGTAGCACAGATCTAGGACATAGCAAGCTTTGTGAAGGTTTCGTGCTGTAGAATTATCTCAGCACTAGCATTGTTATTTCATGTGTATTCTTTAAAAAGAATAATTATCATATATTAGTGTTAATCATTACAGTGTTTTGTTACCTGAAACTTTCTGTAATACTTGATATTATGGTACAGTGTGTGGAAATCGTACTTGTCATTGCAGGTCAGTTTTCAAAAGCTTCTAAAATAGAAATTTTCGTAGAGCAGAACTTTCCATTCAATTAATGCAAAACCTTTTTTTAATTGTTTAGCAGTTGAGAACTATTCTTTTTATTCCTTTAAGCAGTTCTTGAACAACTATGCTAATGACACTTTTAATTAAGAAAGTGTATTTTTATATTTTAATGCAAGTGTTTGAAAACCTTTATGTTGAACCTATAATAATGGAGTAAATTCCAACTTGGTTTATGTTTATGATGAACTTTAGTAGTGTAAAATCTGGCCTCTTTCTTAATTTATAGAGGCATACAATCTGTATCCTAGATGCATTCACGAAAAGAAATTAATATGTAGTTTCTCTTCACTCTGGAGAAGGTGTTAGATGCACATCCAAAGACAGAATTGGCCTTGCAGCTTTCTAGGTTTATTACTTAATTCTTTTTTTAAACTGTAGGAACTGGCAGAGTCTAGTGACAGATTAAAATCCCAAGCCAAAGAGCTGAAAGATGCACACAGCCAGCGGAAATTGGCAATGCAGGAGTTCTCAGAGATGAACGAGCGGCTGACAGACTTGCACTCTCAAAAACAAAAGCTTGCCCGCCAGCTCCGAGATAAGGAGGAAGAAATGGAAGTGGTGATGCAGAAAGTAGAAAGTTTAAGGCAAGAGTTACGCAGAACAGAGAGACTTAAAAAAGAAGTAAGTGGTGAGAAGACTGTTTAGAATCTATGACATAGTAGTTATATGTAAGGTTTTCTGTCAAAGTAATTTCTTAACTTTGTCTGTAAATCTTTAACTCTTTGATTGTTGTTTCAAACAGTACCGATTTTGTTTTCTAAGAGTTTCAAGTGTCCAGTTTAGTGCTGAAGATTTATCTCTTAATTTGAAAACCATCAGTAGATTTTGAAAAAAAAATAGAAAAATCATGCCTATTAAAAACGTATGTACTTTTGTAGCTGGAAGTCCAAGCTGAAGCTGCAGCTGCTGAGGCATCCAAAGACAGGAAATTGCGAGAGAGGAGTGAACAGTACTCTAAACAGTTGGAAAGCGAAGTAGAAGGGCTAAAGGTTAGTCTGTTTTGATATTAACACCTGCAAATTTACTAGTCAACTAGGACTTGGATCTGTTTGATTGCTTTCAGATGTAGGACAAAAGGGTATTGTCAGTTTGTCGCTTCAGTTGATGCCGAACATCAAGCACGCATCACGTTATTGTCCAGAAAAATGAACATTTGCCTAATGCATTTTTCAGGTCAATGTGTTCGCTGCCTTCTGAAGTATTTCTTAATACTCTATGATTTCTTACCAAATTGCCTCCATTATTACTTTAGCTTTATCTGTTAAAAGTGGGTTTTTTTAGTGCAGGATGGTTGAGTATTTGAAGCTAAACCTGCAGCCTGTGCAGGTTTCTGTACAGGTGTTTTGCGTACTGTGTTGTTCCTCAGCGTGTAAGTGAAAAGAAAGATGGTTTCTTGCACAATAGATATCAACTGATGTAACTGTAAAGGAAAAGTTTTGATGTATTCTGCCTCTCAGCCAGAAGTTGAGACATTTTTGCACAACAGCGGCATTGACAATGAAGACTTTGTTTATATTGATGAGATTACTCACACATGTATGCGGGTTTTTTTAGGAGCAGAATTTAAGTAAGCCGAGAATGTTAACTGTTGCTTTATTCTATGATTTATCATTTTATACAGTGTTCTGAAGAAATTAGACTTTCTCAAAAATTGAATGAGAAATTTTTTTCATTTTCATGTGAGGATTACTGTTCATTTAAAGCAAAATCCTGTTCCCAATGTTTCGTCTAGTGGGATAATTCTAAACTTCTTGTGCAAAATGTCAGATTAGGCCTATTCGGGTCTTAATTTACATGAATAACAGGGGTTTTTTATTAGAATTGTGTGGGACTTTTGTCAACATTAAGTCACTGCACAGAAGATTTGGGGTTTATTTTGCAAACATTCTTTTATTTTGCCTGCCTTTATTAAATGAAAATAAGGAAATCTATTCAGTATGAAATTTGGATTTATAAAGTTTCTACTGCTGTGAATTCAGATTGCTATCTGAAAATGTTTCTTCTGTTTTCATGAATCTTCACCACCAGCAAAGAGTTTATATGTCAGTTTAGGAGGCGAGAGGAATTTATTGGAGATCTGTGGAGAATAAATGATATGCTGATTTATAACAACAGGACAAGTATATCAGAAGAGGAAAGGGCACTCGTAGCTTTCTCAGTAATATTTCACAATACAGTAAGCACATTTTGGATCATGTGCAGTTGTTGTGATACTGCATTATCCATTCAAAAGCTCCACATGTCTCCTTAGTTAAGTTCAGGAGGCTGTCATAGAGAAAAGGTCAATATTTAAAGAAAAAAGGAAAGTTTTTCCAAATGAGGAGACCAGAAAAGCCCATAAATGATGGCAGGTTAAGTGTATTCAGGTTATTGAGGGCTAAATAAAGAGAATTTAGAGAGTACATTGCAAAGGACGCTCAGAGAGATGGTGGGAAGTTCTTCAAAAGCAGAAAGCCACCTTTGGAGGCTCGTGGGGCTGCTTGTTGGCAGGAATGAAAAAAATAGTAATCTCTGAGCTGATAGGACTGTGGCAGAAACACTCAACAAGTTTTTGGTATGTCAGACCATCTCAGGGAAGATGGCCATACAGAGTGCATTGCTTGCAGCAGGTTGGTCAGATGAGCTGGATCAGTCTGAGGATGATGTGCAAGGAAGCATTAGATCTGCTAGGTGAGTCAGATGTGAAGTCATCTGGAGCGGTGGCCTCACCAAGGGGATTCTGAAGGAACTCAGGTAAGAAGTGAGAGAACTGCTGGCCACGATGCACATCCTCTTATTACAGACAGCCCGCTATGCCACTGTGACTCTCACCCACAAGATCCTGGGAACTGCAGAGGAGTGAGTGCAGCTTCCTTAGGACAGGGGTAGAGGCTGTAACGAATAAGGTCAGTGAACTCATGGATGAAGCAAAGCCAAGGGGGAAGAAGGCAGTGTGCCTTCAGTCCGGCCAAGTCCTGCAACACTGACCTGCTGGGGTTCTGCAAAGTTGTCAGTAAGGGTATGGACAAAGGAGATCCAGTGAATGTCATGTATTTAGGCAGGAAAAAGCTGAGGGAGAATTACGTTTAAGGTTACAAATCACGAAGGTAGTGAATAAGCAGCTTTGTGAAAAGGGACCTAGGGGTCCTGATGGACAACAAGCTCAGTGTGAATGAACAGTGTGCTGCTGTGGCAAAGAAATCCAACAGGATGCTGGGTTGCATCAGCAAGGACATCACCAGGAGAGATAAAGAAGTCATTATCCCGCTCTACTCAGCGCTTGTCAGACCACACCTGGAACACTGTGTTCAGTTTTGGTCCCCACTATACAAAAAAGATGTGGACAGGCTGGAGGGAGTCCAGAGAAGAGCCACAAAGATGATCAAAGGACTGAGAAGCCTGCCATAGGAGGAAAGGCTGAGAAAGGTGGGTTTGTTCAGCCTTGAGAAAAGAAGAAGGCTTAGGGGAGACCTTATCACCATGTTCCAGTGTTGAAAGGGTGACTAAAAAGAAGATGGAGACTACCTTTTTACAAGGAGTCACATAGAAAAGACGAGGGGTAATGGGTACAAGTTACTCCTGAGGAGATTTCAGTTGGACAAAAGAGAAATATTTTTCACCATGAGAACAATCAACTGTTGGAATAACTTCCCCATGGAAGTGGTGGATTCTCCAACACTGAACACTTTCAAGATTCAGCTGGACATGATGGTGGGCCGTCTTGTCTAGACCATGCTTTTGCCAAGAAAGGTTGGACCAGATGATCCTTGAGATCCCTTCCAAGCTGGTATTCTATGATTCTGCAATTTGATTCCATGATAAGGTGAATGGAAATGACTGCTTACCAAACCCTACAGTGCTATGATTGAAGGTCAGTGACGAAGCAAACAGGACACGTATTTAGACTACTTCTTCTCACAATGGGGAGTTAACTCCTGGAGCTTGTTGCCACAGGAGGTTGTGGTTGTGGCAGTATCAGCAGATTCAGAAAGGAATGAGACAAACTGATGAGCAGTAAGTCCCCTGAGTATGCAGAGAGGTACACTCTAATACCTTTAGTGTAGCAGTTACTGTATTCCAAAGGGAATAGAACACAGAAAAAAAGGCAGGCCCGGGTGCTGTCCCCAAATAGTCACGGCTTTAGGGAAGATACTGTTCTAACCCAGTAAGGCGTCTCAACGTTGTTCTTCACAGTGAAGCTGAACATGATACTGGAATGGTGAGAGTAGTGAAAGTGTACTGTATGAGTAAGCGAAGAAGTTAATGTCTTGGACCACACGTTGGAGGAAGGTACCAGAAGAAACCGGTTGCTATTTGTAATAAATTTCTGATATTAATCAAGCTTCCATTAGTGTTGAAAAATAGAGCTATATGTAACAGTGGAAGAGGAGGGCTTTCATTTTCATCAGAGCAGATTTATAATACCTGCAAATCTTTCTGTTCTTCACCAGTAGATAAGCATATTTATGGTTAGTTTTTAGGGCATTTCATAGGTGTGCTAGAAGATCTTACACTTCCTGTTTACTTCAGTAGACATATTTATAAAGCTGTAGGTGTATACTCAGACAGCCAAAATTCTGTTTCTAGACTGAATTACTTGTATAGAAAAGGTCTATTGGGTGAGTCTGTTTTGGGCCAACTAGGCAATTTTTTGTGCTAGTTTGTGTGGCTGATTTTTTTTGTTTGTTTATTCTTTTGTAAGTTCATTTCAAGCAAATTTAGTCTAAATTTTGCATGTTAAATACTCAGGTAGCATATTCAAAATGAAATTCTCAACTCTTACCTTCCTACCTGAGCAACAGCATATTATTAAATTGAGAGGAATAATATAGTAATCCACATAATAGATAATTAATAGGATTGTAATAAGGAATGTTGCATTTGTCAAATATTTATACCATAAAACTTTGTGCTATTAGCATCACAATCGTCAGAAAGATTCTTCATATTCTTTACCAAGGTAAATTATTATTGCCATCTGCAAAGGTCAGGATAGAAGCCTTGAAGCAATACAAAATAGCACTCGTAACAAAAGGCTAATCTCATTAAAGACAAGCTAGAAGTCTTCCAAGATTTTTAATGATAGGTTCATTTAGGATTACATTGCTTAAATAGTAAGTTTCCCCATGCCACCTGCTTTATTACTGCGGTATTTAATGGCTATTCTTGTTTATTCTTCAAGTGCAAAATGTGCTGTCTATTAATGTTGCAATTGCATTGTCTACCTGGACTTGTCCAAAGCATTTGATACTGTCCCACAAGACATCCCTGTCTCTAAACTGGAAAGACATGGCTTTGATGGATGGACCAATCGGTGGATAAGGAATTGGCTGGATGGTTGCACTCAAAGAGTTGTGGTCAACAGTTCAATGTCCAAGTGGAGGCCAGTGACGAGTGGTGTTCCTCAGGGGTCAGTACTGGGACCAGGGGTATTTAACATCTTTGTTGGTGACATGGACAGTGGGATCAAGTGCACCCTCAGCAAGTTTGCAGATGACACCAAGTTGTGTGGTGTTGTGGACGTGCTGGAGGGAAGGGATGCCATCCAGAGGGACCTTGACAGGCTGGAGAGATGGGCCTGTGAGAACCTCATGAAGTTCAACAAGGCCAAGCGCAAGGTCCTGCACGTGGGTGAGGGCAATCCCAAGCACAAGCACAGGCTGGGCGGGGAATGGATTGAGAGCAGCCCTGAGGAAAAGGACTTGGGGGTGTTGGTGGATGAGAAGCTCAACAAAAGCCAGCAATGTGCGCTGGCAGCCCAGAAAGCAAACCATATCCTGGGCTGCATCAAAAGAAGCGTGGCCAGCAGGTTGAGGGAGGTGATTCTGCCCCTGTACTCTGCTCTGGTGAGACCCCACCTAGAATACTGCCTTCAGCTCTGAAGTCCTCAACACAAGAAGGACATGGAGCTGCTGGAGCGAGTCCAGAGGAGGGCCACGAAGATGATCCGAGGGCTGGATCACCTCTGCTATGAAGACAGGCTGAGAGAATTGGGGTTGTTCAGCCTGGAGAAGAGAAGTTGTGTCTGCCCCATCCCTGGAAGTGTTCAAGGCCAGGTTGGATGAGGCTTTGAGCAAGCTGGTCTAGGGGAAGATGTCCCTGTCCATGGCAGGGGAGTTGTAGCTAGGCTAGGGTTGATGTCCCTTCCAACTCTAACCATTCTATGATTCTATGATTCTATAATACACATGTCAATACTTATATTTACAACACTGCAGTCAGTTTGGACTGTTCAGCTTGGTAACTGCCTAATGAAAGACCTGCTGTGTGGAGGTTTTTTGTTTGAGGTTTTGTGTGTCTGCCTTAGAGAGAGGGAAGGCTTCCAGTGTGGAGTTATGGCATCTAACTATTTATGTGCCAGGAGATGCATTATGTCTCAGTTGCACCATTTGTCCACTTGAAACAGGCACGTATGAAAACATCTATTTGGAATTTGTGCTTACATCAATTCAAAATACGTTCTCTTTTTACTAAATTATTCTAGTTCTGTAAGCCACTGTACGATACCATCCAGCTCTCTTTTCTACTGCTCTGTCTTGCAGTTTTAATAGTATCTTTTCATTGTGGAAAAAAAAGTGAAATACCATTAAAACGTTCTATGTACCTGATAGATGATATTGCAAAGTGTAAACTTTTTATGTGCTCCATTGCCATATAGATGTAGGCAATTTGGTGGGTTGGGCAGTAACAAACAAGTTCAGTAGTTAACTGCCGGTGTAGGAAAGAAAATTTCTATACTTCTTTTCTTTTTTTCTTTTTTAATCTTTCTTTGTCCAGACTGTCTCCTGTTAGGATGGCATCTTCTTTCTCCAACTTACCATTCTGCATCCTGAGGGCAGGATTTTACTCTTAGATCAAAACAGATGGTCGTTTTGATGAGTTAGAGAAAACAATGCGGTAGCAGCACATATCTGGCTCATACATTTAGGGGGTTTTGCAGTGTTCTGCTGACACTAACAGTAAGGCTCAGCTTTCTCATAGAATTCACTGTGGTACAAATTCAGCTGGTCTGAATGTTCTACAGTGACATTTAGCTCTTAAAGTCTATTCATACATCAGCAAAAGAAAATTACACAAAGCCATGTTTAATTCGGGGTAACTGAGAGGATTTTAATACCTCATGGTAAGAATGGAGGTATAATTAAGGAAATATCTTTGATCCTCCTGAAGGTGTGAGGCAGTCACCCGAAGGAAGGAAGTTTTCCAGTTACCTGCACATTCCCAAAACGGTATTTTTATTAATTTCCTTTCCTTAGACTACCTTTAATTACATATTTTAGAAAATAGAAAAAATTCCAAAGCAAGTTATACATGTGTTTACATTAAAAAGTATTTCCATATGTGGATTTCAGTGCATGTCATGCCACTATCTCATTTTGAACCTGATCTTGCTCCTCCTCTATGTTATGGCAGGACATTGAGTTTAGTGAGTGCAGCATTTGGTGCAAATGTGTATGTATCCTGAAGCAATGTGTAAAGACTATTGAAATGCCAGAAGACCTCACTAAGAGAGCTATGCAGCTGCGAGAAGTGAAGTAATTACTCTTATTGTTTAAAGCTTCTTTTTCCTATTAATCCACTATGATGTAAATGGTCAGTTTGAGTAAAATAGGTCAAGTTTCCCTCCTGATTTATGCAATCCATGTAGTGTTTCTGTAGCTAGATTTTAGCCTTCAGTTAAGCCTCTGATTGTCTTAGTATAGCTTTTCCACAAATTATTTGTGCTTTAAAATATATTGACTGTATATCATAGTGCTTATTGTTCATTCCTGGAAGCCACTTGAACTTGTTGCTGTCAACCACGTGAATGGGAGCATAAAAATCTTCTAATTCCGTGGTCGCTTTCTGACTGCATGCAAGTCAGAATGTGGCCAGAGATGTTAAAAGTGATGATCAAATTTTCAATGGCTTGAAAACTATTACAGCATTTAAATCTCAAAATGATGAAAAGTACAGTTCAGATTTATGCTCTAACGAATTTTCAGAAAAGTTGAGATAGGTGTTTTAAACTCAGTTCTGTAACGGGATATTTTCTGAACATAGACTTATGAATATTGAGTTGTTATTAAGCGTAATTTTCAACATTTTTGAGTGCTAACTTGGGGCTGTTTATTTTAGCAAAAACAGATCGGTCGCTCACCTGGGGTAAGCAGTATAGAACACCAGCAAGAGATCACTAAATTAAAGGCAGACCTGGAAAAGAAAAGTGTTTTCTATGAAGAGGAACTATCTAAACGTGAAATAATGCATGCTAATGAAATAAAAAGCCTGAAGAAAGAACTACGGGATGCAGAGAGCCAGCAGCTTGCCCTCAAGAAGGAGATCATGATTTTGAAAGACAAGTTAGAGAAAACCAGAAGAGAAAAGTGAGTATTGTACGGAATTTACCTTTAAGCTCAAAATATCATTTGAAGTCTCCTAGTATGTTTCCAAACACACTATCACTTCCTTAACTGTCGTGCAGACAGGTGCATTTTGGCTGACCTAATGCTAGGATTCAAAATAGTCACCTTTAAAAATAAAACAGAACAAAAAAATCCCCAAACCCTGTACTGAAACAGTTAATTTTGCACCAGAATTCTTGCACTAGCTGACCATTCCAAGGTATGTAACTTGAGTTGCAGACTTGCAGTTCAGAGTAACTCAACCCCTGAAGCTTATGTTACAGTTTAAAACAGGTTTTTTTGACATTTTTTTCAGTTTGGGATTTTCATTTTTTGATGCAAAACTAATGTGTTAGAGAGCAACTTATTGCTTACATTTCTGCCAGCACAGGAACAGTCACGTAATGCGGACTAAGGCTAATCCATGCTGGGTTCCATCCAGTGTTAACATCAGTCATCAGACTACTGTGGGCATAAGCTGCTTTATCTCTTCTGACATGGTAATTTGTCGGAGACCTGCTTTTTTCTCTCCCATGTGGTGGAGCTTATAACTGGCCTTGAGAATGTTCTTTGAGGCATTCATCAATAAAAACAAGTTTTTCTGTCGGATAGTGTGGTAATGGAAATAGTCATAAATGGAATGTGTTCATTTTCATTCATAAATATTTCAGAGTGCTTTGTAGACACTGACATAGATGCTCCTTTTTGCTGCTGTAGTAAGATGGCGTATTAGAAAAACCATGGAGAAGTTCTTGCTGAAAGCTTAGCCAAACTGTCGCAAGTCCTTAAATATAAATAGCAAATAAAATAAAGAATTTTTAAAAAAAGCTTATGAAAATAGAGGTGGAAACACTGCTTCTCTGGTGAATTGTTTCCAGCAAGCAAAGTAGATCGTACAGCTTAGAATGCAGTGGATTAACTCCTTCTTCCTAGAATCTAACTGTTTATTGACTGGATGTATTGACGTAGTAGTTTGCTGCTTTGTTCTAGGTTGAGAGGTAAACTGGCATCAGCAACATGTTTTCATTGTACCATAACTTAATGGTCTTACCAACCTATGAGTTAAAAATGCAAAAAAGCCCATGCTGTTTTGTAATATATAAGGATAATAGTGTGGTGCTCCTTTAGTGCCTTGTCAGTCCAGTAGTGTCTCAGAAGGAGGAATATTCGATGAAAGAATCGTTAATACTTCTTTCTGCAGGCTAAAGAGCATACCTCCAAACACTGAGCAGACCAGAAACTCCTTGGAGTTTTATCAGAACCATTCTAATGTTGTACAGCTGCAGAAGTTCTAACTAGGTATCCATCTAGTGAAATAACAAATGGCCTAACATTGCTAATCTGCCTCATGCTAGCTAGTTCATAAACCTTCTTTCAATCTAGTTTCTCTCTATAAATAAAAAAAGAACGGATGCAAATCTAAAATGAGTGCTGACGTAACCATGTGTTTCTGTATGTATTTCAAGTGTTGGTGTAAGAGGACATTTTAAAGCATCAACAGAAGTGTGTCACATAACCAGAATCCAACATTTGGCTCTTAATGGGAAGGGCTTCAGCATCATACGAAGTCACGTATCCAAGCACATGATAAGTGATTAATGAAGACCTGATCTTAACTGGGTTTTGTTAAACAGATCTGCAGAATCTCATGCAAGTATTAGGACTCCACAGAAATGCAGAAGTCCACTGTTCAAGGTGTGCTACAGACTGACTTCTGTAGTAGTAGTAGTAGTTCAGGGGTTTAGAAGGGAAGCTTAAATATTAGGAATGGAGGAATTGCTGTTGCTGCTCGATTCTCAGTATTTTGTAGTTTTTCTTAAGAGAACATGGATTTTTTTGTTTCTGCTTACACATACTGTTTCTAGCGTTTGTAGTCAGGCACACAAAGGTTTTTGTGAGTCTGCCAATACAGAGGTGTCCAATGTAAGTGTTGAAAAGGAAGCACCTGGAGGCTTTATGCTGAAATAAGTGGATTTATTTCAACAATAGGCTTGGGGTGGGCATGGCACTGAAGTGTTTGTATACAGTTTAGGAAAAAAAATGTAGTAGTCTAAAAATAATCTTAAGTGCATATGAAGAAAAAAAAGGGTTTGATAAGAGGATGCAGTTGCATGACTTCATAAGGGCTGTAGAATAGAGTGAATTAAGAGCTTGGTCAAAATCTGTGTGTTTTTTTATGTAACTTACATGCTGGCAGTTTGCATTTAATTTTTTTAAATGGGTATTTCTTCTTTGATTCCTTCAAATTTAAGCTTTCTTACTTTTGCCGTTTCAACAGCATAAGTCTTCAAGGGAGAGAAACTAACTTTTTGTACAAAACGATTGCCATTTGCTAAAGTCTGATAAACTGCAGGCTATTAAAATTGAGAACGAAGGAACACAGTATCAGGCTGGTGATCTGTGTAGCACAATATTCCATTTCTTAGAAGTGTCATTATGAAATATTTCAGAAGAAGGTGCAAGAAACTTCTGTAAAAGTAGCAGTTTCTTTTAAGCATGCCATTTAGTGATAGATTTATAAAGCAGAGAGCTTTATAAAACAGCATTTGCTGTTTTTAAATTGTGTCATATAAAAAAGCCTGGAGGCTGGTCTTTGTTTCAGGTCTCCTTTTCCTGGTTTCAAAGCAGGAAGAAAATATTTCTCCACTTTGTACAGCTGCATTAAAGAGCTGGAGTGACAAAGTGATACCATAAAGCTGTATTTCACATTGCTTGTCTGTGGTTCGCAACAGTTATTTTACTGATAAAAAGAAAGCTGGATCATGTATGATTTCTTAAGCTTGAAGAGTGGAAACATAGCTAAATTTTGGATGAGAGAAAAAGTTTGGTGGGAGAGGAGGATGCCAGGCTTCAAAGCGAATGTGTTATTTTGATCTTGGCTGGCCGAGGTACACCTATGGAGTCTGTCACAGTTCTGTGGTTTGCTGTGTTGATATTTAGATATGACAGATTGTACTCTCCTCTGTTTAAAATTTATCTTGTTTCTGTATTATATTATAGCAATCTGACTTACTGGGTTAGTGACAATCACCAGTTGAATTAAGAAGGCAAATTGCAGAAAACTACAAATCTGTTTGGCTCCTTTACCAACCCAAAGCTTCCTTAATCCACCTCCATTCGTGGCTGCTTTGAGCCTTAAAGCCTTAAAAGAACAAGTTTTAGACAAATACAGAACAAAAACCCCTAGACAAAACTATAAAGCTGTAAAAGCCAAGTAAAAGAATAAAACAAATTAATTAAAAATTAGTTCAGTCTACTGTCTGAGAAATTAGCTTTAAATCTAAACCTTGCAAACAGAAGCGGGACCTGTTATTAATTCTCCTGACAGCTAGTGCTTTAATCTCTTCCTGCCTTTTCCCTAGGCTGCTCATCATATGCATGGAATCTGTTGATGTAGAAAAGGAGTGGTGGCGAATTTCAAACTTGGCGTTTAAACAGTAACGGTAGTATGGTGCTTTGCTAGGATGTAGTGTTATGTTTCAAAGGATGCCTAGCAACATAGAATTTCACCATGAGTCTAACATGCTCTACTATATTTCAAAGAGCGGCTGAAGCCCTAAATGAATTTCAAATTAGGAATAGGAAATTCAAACCAGCATTACTCTTAACTGAGTTCACTGTAACCACTGACACTTCACGTCTTTTAAGGGCGTTCTCTCAGTCTGGCAGAGTTGTAGTAGTTCTGCATCTCAGAAAAATAGGCGAGGATGTAATTTCTCTGTTGCACAATGTAAAAATCTGATTGGTATCCAGAAAAAAATTTGCAATGCTCAAGGCAAGATTTCCCCTGAATTTTATTTTTACAAAGCTAATCTTTTATACTGGGTGCTTTTTCAAACCTTTTAAGACTGGACAGTGGTATTTGCTGAATGGGTATTTAACATATCTGTGGCATTTATAGTATGGTTTCATCAATCTACTGATGAACTTTGTACCAATTACCTGAATAATTGGTGAAACAGTGAATACAAGATGCCACAAAGTCATCTTACTGAAACTTTGCAAATGTAGTGAGTCTCAGAAGAGTGGATTTGAGGTGGGAGTTATATGTCTACAAAATTGCAGTCTACTGCTTTAAGGAAATTACGATGTTTTTTGCCAAACAGGGGGCCTACAGTTTAATTTATTTTCAGGTTCTCATATTCATTGTGCAAAATCAAAGGTTGATGGTAAGCAGAATCAAGCGGGGTTCTCCTCTACTAAATGACATCCATAGGAGAAAGGAAAGGTTGGGGGAACCAGCTACTTTGAAATGCTTTCTCAGAAAGAATGTTCCAAACCTGCTCTGGAATCTCCTGATACTAGGAGTGTATAGGTTATCCATCTGTTTTTTTACTGATACTAAGTGTATGGTAACTGAATTAACAGTTCAAATGTATCCTCTGGCTATTCTAAGTTGTCCAGAGATGACTGCCCATATAAGCTTTTCTCATCAGAAACCCAGCCCCACGTTCTCTAATTTAGCTTCTGTATGTTCTGTTTTCATATGTGATCATTTCTGCCTGTCATTCTGTGTGAAACGTGGAACTATAGAAATGTGTAAATTAAAATAACGTTTCTGTGAGCTCAGAATTTACCCTGCATGGCTTAGAATATTGACACACACTTTGGCCTGCAGAATTACAGCTGCTCAATGTTTGAAGGATTCATCTAAAGAATAAAATATGTATATGTGGTTTGATAAACATCAGCTCAGTGGAGCTCTATTTATTCCTTACTGAAGGAAAGATCATTGTTAAATGGTAAAATTCAACAGGCTGTCTCATAGTCCTAAGATGGTAGTATAATATATTACTTACTTAGTTTTAATAGGCTGTGGTGTTACCAATGTAATACTTTCCTTTCAGCTGGTGCGTGCATTGATCTTCATGTATTTAAGTAAACAGCGTGATGAGTTTTAGAGTAGGAAACTTTCTAATTCTGCTTCATTTTATCTCTTAGCCAAAGTGAAAGGGAGGAATTTGAAACAGAGTTCAAACAGAAATATGAACGAGAAAAGATTCTGCTAACAGAGGAAAACAAAAAACTTTCAAACGAACTTGATAAGGTAAGTGCTGATGAGTTGAGTCCTGACTTTGCAACTGTTTTGTACTATTTGACGATATAGAGCTGTATTGGCCATTATTAACTCTTAATTGATAGCAGAGATTAATACTGCACAAAAGGTGGTGATTAATGTTTGATTTGAACAGGGAGTATCTACATGCCTCTGAGTTTGAGAATATGTGCACGTGTGTGTGTGTATATATATGTGCACATGTATGTGTATTTATGTGTAGGAATTGAGTTAGATAGTCTTACAGTTTAGCAAAATTAATTTTAGACAATATCTTAAGGGGAAAAAAAAAAAGATTATTCCATCGTATGACCCAAACATAAAAATACATAGTCAATGATGTGATTACATAGGGTATATTTGCATGTCAGTTACCGTGAAATAGCAGGGCCCCTCCCGCCTATTGAGATTAAGTGTTCTCTGAGATATTAAAAAATACAAATGATAAGGCATATTAATTGAAGTGTATTGAGCAACGAATAATTATGTTTCGTGCATTTAGATTATCTCTTTATTGTTCATTTTGACAGGTTATTCAAGTTCATTGTGGATTAACCAAGTCTTGCTAAACTTGTCTATTCTTTTTGTAATGCATTAAATTTTCTAAAAATATGATGAAAGTGCAATGTTCTTCAAAGTAAGCATATTTGCATGTCAGTGTTCAAATTAAAGTATATTTTCATACTAGTTTAAGCAGTATACTATATATGCCTATATGTAGGCTTATCCCCAGAACAGTAAGAGAATAGTCACTTTGATAGTTTTTCTGCTTGGTCTCTTTTTTTTTTTTTTTTTCAATTTGGTTGGCTTTGTATTTTCCTTATCAAATGACATTTAATAAATAGGCATATTTAAATCATAAGCCCATTTAAATGATAACTATGGAGTTGAGTACTTGTATTAGGAGTAAAAAGAGCAGACTAGATTAAAAATGGATATTTTTTCATCATTTTGATTTATCAATATATTTCAGTGCTAAAGGAAGCCTTTCACCTGAGATTCATTCTCCTAAGCAGGCCTTCCTATCAAGTCTATCTGCTCTCTGATTCCAGTTTGACTTTCTGAATGATTATTTAGCATAATAAAGGTTTAGTTCCCAATACCAACTCAGGTTAGCCGTGGCTTTTGTCTCGCAGAATGCGCATGTATGAATGACAGCTATGTGAATGCAAGTGAAGTTAATTGTTAGGTATAACATATTGTACTTACAGATGTGCATTTAATTTCAATTTCCCTGTCTGCAAGTAAGTAAAATGAAAAATAGAAGAATGTGAGACACCTGGAGAATCTCAGGACTGACTTGCGCCTGTATCTGTTAAGCCTGTCGTTCTCCATGGTTACTAAACAAGAGAGAGGTTCAGGAGTTTTATCTGAGCTATAGCCATTTTTGTGCTCTTGCTTTGCTCTTTTAATGTAGTTTTTTCTGTACAGAACGTTCTACACCTGTATGGTGCAAAGTAGAAACCTAAGAGTTGTAGAGGTATTTGAACACTAATTCTCAGAAAACTGATTAATTTGTTAAAGTAAAAATGTAGTTCTAGTCCTTAAAAATGACCTTTCAGTACAGCTAAGGTACTGAAGTAACTAAGTACATACATGAGAAGAGATTCTGACTTTTATCGTTAATGATGTTTTTTTGTGATGGATAGTACCAATCTTTAAAGCAGGTGCACGATGCGGGAGAGGGGAACACATGGCTTTGAGTCTGCACAGAGATGGAGTCACAGCACCTTATACATTTAACAAGTTGTTTATATTCTCATTCAGCTCACCACCATGTTTGAGAGACTGAGTATGAATAACCGGCAGCTGGAAGAAGAAATGAGAGACCTGGCTGATAAAAAGGAGTCTGTGGCGCACTGGGAGGCCCAAATTACTGAGATCATCCAATGGTGAATACTCTGCTCTAATGTCATTGCAGGATCCTCTCAGTATGTGGTAGGGCAGTTACTGAGTTTTTGCCTTTGCACATGGCACTTGCAAGTGCTTAGGTGAAAGCTCACATTCATCTGGCATTCTGCTGTGTTTTTCCTTGAGATGTTGACAATATCCAAATCCAGAAAATTGTGTTCCTCCTTAAGAGCGAAAGTGTCTTAGCAAATACAGCTTTAAGTGCAGAAGAATCATGGCCATTGGGTGTGGCTTGTGGCTTTGGAAGAATGCTAGAAGGAGTCATGTGCTGAGCTCACTCCTCCAAGAAGGAACAAGCCTGGGAAAAGCAGTGGCTGAGAGGATTTGTGTCTCAGCATTAATTTCCTTCATCTGCTTGGCATGTGGCAGAATGAAACAAATGCAGTGCAACTTTTATGTGATTTTTTACAAGGCCGGCATTTGAGACTACTACAAAGCCAGTCTCAAGTGATGTTTCTAATAATTTTTTTGCTAAATGATGATGTTATGTTTCTAAAGTCTTCTGTCCTGTTCTGATAAATTAAGGAAAAAAACCCAAGTTGAACCTATTAAGAGATAAAGATTGATTTATCAAGGTGGCTTTTATTTTTCCTCTCTATACCTGCATCTTTTGCCTCCCCTTTTATGGTCCATTGCAATGTTTAGCATCTACAAAAACAGTTTGCATCCAGACAATTTTTTCATAGATCATCCACTTCTGGGAAGATTTCATCATCATATACTAATCTTTTCTTTGTCTACGTCTTGATAATTTTTCTCCCCTCGTTTTTCCCATAACATATTAATGAAAAAATCTAATTTCCTGTGTCAAAGCAAAAATGCAAAATGTTTGTTTTAATGAAACCTCGTTTGCTATTGTTGTAACATCAGTATCATTTTGTTGTCCAAATACGGAGAAGTTTGCCTTTTGAATACAGCCATGTGAATATGTAACAATGTGTCCTCTGGGTTTCTGGAAGTGTCTGTTACATAATATTGTGTGATGCAGATCAGTGTTACGAAGTCCATAGTATCTCAAGGCATTGTATACACAGCAGAGGTTACAAAATTTAAAGGGTCCACTTTGTGCCTGTCCTTTTAAATCTTGTCTCTCATAATTGTGAGATGTTCTTATGTCACAGAAATGAAAAAAAAAAAAAAAATTGCATAAAAGGTGTCTAAATGAATGGTTAATTTATAGCCAATCAGAAGCTTTTATCCGGAACAAAATCAAGTTAACAAGAGAGATAAGTCTGTTATTTCACATTCCGTATTGTTTTAAGATAATGCTTATCTACCTTAATGCACCAAGGTAACCAAACCCCATTTTTCAGATTTACATGTGAGAGCAGTCATAAAACATGGCAGTTCTGGAAAAAGACAAAGCAGAATTAATTGTGGATTGTTTTACTCAACACTATGTAAAAATGTACCAACAACCATTAGAAATGTCCCTTCTCCGATTTATGAGTGTTTACTGTTTTAAGATGTACTGCTGGTGTGGTTCAGGTTTATGATAAAGCACCTTGCATGTATTAGAGATGTCACTGGGGGGTAAAAGAGGTTTAGAATTGAGTTTTTTGTTACCTCTAAAGATACTTAATGAAAAAAGATCAGGAACATGCAAGACTAACTTTTTGAATGAAAGATAGCATTTCACTGATCCTTTATGATAATGTGGTGTATGTTAAAAAGTATGAAACTAAAGATTAAAGGGAAAAAAATAGAAGTACTGTGGGCAAAAATTAGGGAGATAAAAATAATCTGTCTTGGTTCCATTTTTTAATCACTGTACACATATCAATTTTCCCTCCATGCTTCTCTCTGCTTATGCTATTTTTTTTACAGCTATGCGAGGCTATATCTTGGCTCGCATTTTATTCTTATTATGTTTAGGTTCTCCATGTATTACCCAGATAGCCTAGTAATGTGCATCTACTGTCCTTAGAAATCAGCACTGCATACTGAAACTAGGTCTTTCTCTGAGGATTTTTTGCTGTGGAACATGGGGTGCTGTATGAGGTATTTAAACATCTATAATAATGATATACATTTTAAAAGAAAAAACTAACAAATAAAAGTAGTCTTATTTAATGAGTCACAAACATATTTTCCTCAGAAGAATATGCAATTTAAATCCATACCTATCCGCCTCTTCTGTATGACAACAGAATGCCTTGGAGCTAACAAATTAGGGTAGAACTTGGTGACTCCATCTTCAAAACTAACAGATGTTTTGCACACTGTTACTTTAAAATGTGTATTTTGAGTGCACTCTTTCTACCTCCTAAAAAAGGTTCCGACAACCATCTTTTTTTTTTGTACCGTGATTCATGAAGGATAGGAAGCAGTAGATGAACTTAATTACTGGTTTTGTAAATGGTCCACTCAGCTCCCTTTAATAGTTCAAGGGATTTAGTGTCACCCTGGTTTAAGTAACACAAGCCCAAGGACTCCATTATTTGCTTCGAGTGCTTTGCCATCTAATACATAATCTCTGTCAGGAAATCTGCCCCGCTTTTTGAGTCCACACTTGGGTGGTTAAGGTAGTTACTTTCTTCACAACTCCTTGGGCCCTTCTAAATTATTATATCTTTCAAATTTTATAACTTGGAAGTAATTTTAATGGCCTATCATGTCCCGTTTAGCCTTTTCCTGCTTTCTTACTGTGCCCTCTCGCATCTTGTTTAGGGCAAACGTACAAAAACCTTTTAATTTTTGTTGTTATTATCCCAAGATGCCATAAATATAGCCAAAATCTTAATATAAACACCTGAATCAAACCTTCATTGCAAATTCTAATGTGGTAGCAATAGACCCTCACAGATCATTCAGTCTTAATGGAGCTATTATATTGACAAGCTTATATTAGCCAAATCACTCATCATTCCTTGACAAGAGTAAGAAATATTGAGGCTTTTATAGTCAGCTATAAATTTTCCTATGGGAGCTGAGAAAGGGATTCATTGCATAGGAGGTTAACGCAGACACTTTAAAAAGGAATCTTTTAAATAGCCGTGATAACGTATTTCTGTTCTGTTGCAGAAAGGAGGTCGATGGAAATCTTGGTAGTGATTCCCAGAGTACTTGGCAAGAATCTTAACTTATTAGCCTCTTTGGGAGGGATTCATGTAACCTAGTTCTAGAAGTCCGAAGGTAGACAACTAAAGTAAAAAATCCCATGACTAGTACTGTAGAAGTCTATTTTTGTTCCCACTGATTGAAAAGGAAGCTTAGACAACTAGTTCAAATGAAGAATTCTGCATTGTTGAGTATGTTTACATGGATGAGCTAAATCTCACCTGATTTTACCTGTAGAGTGGATGTTAGGCTTAGAGTCAGCTGAGGCCAGAAGCCGTGACTGTTTTTTACCACAAGATTCAGTCAGTGTTCTTGTTGACTAGATATCTTTCCAGGCAACTGCAGTGTGGTTGATTTTTATCTTAATGATTTCAAATTTTTTAAAAAAGAAAACAAACAAGCAAACAAAAAACCCTTCTGCATTAAATGAAATATAAAAAAGCCCCAAAGTTGTTATTTGAATTTAGAAAACTGGTTGTTCTCAGAAGAAAGCACACACAAATTGTGGAAAAGATTTAGAGAATGGTACTGGGAGTAACTAGTAGAATTTTGGGGAAATGGAATTGTAAGAAACTCAAAACATGAAAATTTCTGAGATGCATTGTGTTTGAGGTAAGAATAAGAGGTTAACTGTAAGCATAAGAGGTTAACTATCTATAAAATAAAAATTCTGGAGGGCAGGGGCAAGTTTCAGGGTTTGGGAGAAGAGTGAAATATTAAAAATTTTTAAAGAATTAGTTTTAAAAACCAAATTTTGTTTGAGAGGGAAGAGGGGGAAGAAATAATTAATTGGAGACTTTGAGCATAGTGATATGAAGACAGAAATTGAAAAGTGTTGGGAAACTACATGAGAATTGGTAGTCATGGCTTTCAGACTTCCTTGGCGTTTTTAAATCGGCTGAGATACAGCTTGACATAAGACCCCAGGGCTTCAAGACCCGTCCTGTTCAGCAAAAAATGTCTAGTCCTCTGTGTCCATTTTGTATTGTAAAGTATTCCAGACAGCGAGAGATGGAGCATCTGACTTTCCTAGCAGCCTGACAAATAGCACACTAGGTGTTAGTCAGTGGTTATTTGAAGGTTGTCATGACGTTGGCTGCAACCAAAAAGTTAAATTTAGTTTTACACGAATTTGTACTATATCGCTCTTCTAGGTTCATTATAGTTAATGAACTAGGCTTGCAAGGGCACTTGCTTTATATATGAAAACAGAACAGTTAATCTAATTGGAGTTTCCACTATGGAAAGAAGTGACTCTGGGTGGAACCTGAAGAACTTTTCTTCCTTAGGCCTTTTGCCGTGCTAATTAGGGCTCTCTATAAGAAGGGGAGGGAGGCAAGGAGACATGATAAGAGTAACTTTACCATTCGTGCTCTATCTTTTTTTGAAAAAGCCAACCGAACAAAAAAGGCCCAGCAAACCAGTAACATCTCAAAGAACTCCCAAGAGCTCCTGGGCTCACATAATGTTTAATCAATGTATCTCATTATCGAGAGAATGTTGCCATCTAGTGGACAACAGAACTATAGCGCTGCTCCTGATGGTGCTGCTTTTATTTATTTACTGTCTTTAAAGAGTCTGAGGAGTTTCCTGAGGAGAACTCAGTATGGATTTTTGCAAAAATTGACTTTATATGTATATTTTCATTTTCTAGATTTCTGTATGTTCTGTGGAAAATCTCGCTGAGGTTATTGCATGTGCAGCTTTTCAGCGTTTAGAGCCTGAAGGTTCTGTGCATCATAAACCAAATACATGAAGAGTTTTCTTACCTTTCAAAGGGATGATAAAAGTTTACAAAGAAATTGGACGTTTAAAGTTTTTCAGTTTTAATTAGAAAAGTTAAAAAATAAGGCACCAATTCAACTTTATTTCCAGTCTGACATTGTCCCTTTTTTTCTGCAAAGATTTTACGTGTCATTAAATATAGAGAAGATCAAACACTGATTTCTAAATCTCTTTTACCTTCTTTTACATCATGAAAACTGAGTTTCTCACCTTGAGAGCCTCACATTCTTTTTATTCATGCTTACACTCTTTTTACTAGATATTTAATTATACATCCCCCAACCCCATAAAAGCATCTTTTGCTACATCTCATATTTTACCCACTCTTATACCCTAAGTGATTTGTATAGGCCAAGATTATCTGTATCTGGTTGTCAAAATGTGTCATCCAGAATGTTACGGGGAAAAAAAAGTTGGTGTTCTGCTTCTCTTGAGTTCTGGTATGCCTGGGGAAAAATAATGTCTCATTAATATCAAAACTCTCACTGACTTTAATAGAGGCAGGACTTGTGGTTTTTTCCTAGGCCAGTCCCCACCTCTTGAACTAAATTGTAAGCAGGAGACAAAGAAGATAAAGCCTGAAGCATGAATAAGTACTTACTTTTTCATGTTGAGAGTGAGTTTTGTGGCAAAAAGTCATTATTTTTGCATTAGCCTCCTCTGTATTAAAGCAATCTTCCTTACATAAATCTTAAACTGCACACCCAGAAGTCAGTGCAACCTGTAGATGTTTTGCCCATAGCTTTTGCATCGTAGTTTTGCCCTGAAAAAAGCTCTTCTGTTCCTCCTTTGCCTATGGCAGTTCAGAGTATGTGCTCTCTGTCTTTCTTGCCTCTTGGAGACTGTCTATAAATCTTTGTTGGAGCCTTGTAATATCTTTATTAATTCATGGTGAACTTACAAGTAGCACCATTTCCATATTCACTGTGTGTATGAACCTCATAGTACCAACCAGTGAAACTTAGATTGATTTTTAGGCATGGAGGGGGAATCACTTTCTGCGGAAAGGTCAGTAAGAGACAAATTCATCTTTCTGGACATCTCTCATCTCCTGTCCAACATACTCAGGATTACAGTTACTAAGGAAAGAAAGGATAAGTTAGTTTCTTTCTGTGAAGTAGAAAAACTATTGTCCCACTTCCCTCTAAGTTATTTAAAACTTTTGACATTCATTATTTGGCCTACATCCTAAACATTTCTGTGGTTAGTGTTGTTAGATCTAACAGTGATCAAGCCGTGATATTAGACCAGTGGTCTCTGAGACCAGCTCAGAGACTTGAGTACACCCTGATGGTGCAGAACTTAGTTTGTTCTTCTGTGGACAAGATGACTGTGTTCAGAGCCAGGCATGTAAGGTGAAAAGAAATGTGTTTGGATTTGGTTTTTTTTCTGTTTGTTTGCTTTAGGTTTTTTGTAAGTTAGCTTCAGTGAGGTAATTTTTTAGCGACTTTCTTTTCTATGTTAATACCTGAGGCAAAGTGAAAAAAGAACCTTCTGCTATGATTAATCACGTAAAGTTTATTTTGTAACTGATGGTCAAATAATTTCAAAAACAGTCATGTCTCCTCCTTGATGTCTTTACACCCAGAAAACATGTCTTGATAGAAAGAAAGCTCAGGGAGAGCTCAGAGAGCCTCTTCTGGCTTATGCTGTTTAGTAACATTAGAATTAGACTCTCCCTATTTAATTAGCATTTCTTGAAATAACATCACTGCTTGATTCTAACTACTAGTTCTCATAGTCAATTGATTCAGTGAAGTCAGCCACTAGTTACAGTGTTATATGGGTGGCTGAATTGTTAATTATTGGTTATAAATTCTGTCTTAATTTACTCCCTAAAACTAGGTTGAATCCTGAGAAAGGTTTCTTTCCCACAGTCTCAATTTCAGGTAGCTGACATTTACACTGAGACATACATTACTTACTTAGATATGTAGTTCTTCAATCTGTTTTTTTTTTTTTTTCTTTAGATTCTTTGGTTAAAATACTTTTTTCTTCTAATGTAATTGTTTAGGGTAAGTGATGAAAAAGATGCTCGAGGTTATCTTCAAGCCTTGGCCTCTAAAATGACAGAAGAACTAGAGGCCCTGAGGAACTCCAGTTTGGGTGCAAGAGCTACAGTAAGACTTGACTTCTATATGTCAGATTTTTTTTTTGTTTGCTTGAAAAAACGCTAACTTGATAGTTAGTTCCAACTGCAGTAATAACCTGCTTGTAGAGTCTATGTTAGTCAAAAGTTAAACCTTCGTACTGCTTCCCTTGTGCATGCATAACTGAATAGCAAATTTATTGTTTATCAATTAATTAAACACCAATATCTTTATAATGTGATTTTATCTATGATATTGTTCAAGTAGCTACTTTATAATCATATATTAATTTGTTGAAAGAAATCTGTACTCTGGGTCATGAAAGCCTTAAAATCTTTCGCTCATGAAATGCCCGTGTCCTTCATAGCCATCATTTGAATTGAGACAGATCAAAACTAGAATTCACAAAATCTCTTTGTTTTTCAGATCGTGACAACATAAGAGGCTCATTTTGCCTATTTAGTACTTGAGTTTAAAAATAATAATACTAATAACAATACCCTTTTAATTTTTAATTTTATATTAATTTGCAATTAATAAACTCTTCTATTAAGAACATAATAGACTAGGAAAAATAATTGTTGAAGTTAGTTACATTCCTGATTTTCTACTTTCTTTCACTCTTTCTTCTCTCTTTTTTTTATTGTTTACTAGGACATGCCCTGGAAGATGCGCCGCTTTGCAAAACTGGATATGTCTGCAAGGTTGGAACTACAGTCTGCTCTTGATGCTGAAATCCGAGCCAAACAGGCTATTCAAGATGAGTTGAATAAAGTCAAAGCTTCCTGTATCTCTACAGAGTGGTAAGACTGAATTGTTCTAATGGAAATTTACTTTCTTACCTCCCAGGGAGTGTCATCAAATCATGATTTTAACTATCTTGTCTGTCAAAATTTGATAATGAATGATATGCCAATTTCCTGTATCCAAATGTGAAAAAAAGACCATATCTCTCTTCATTGTGCAAGCAGCTGAATGCTTACTGTGAAAATTTCAAGTCTTGAAGGCTTTCAGAGGGGACACTTTCTCTTATATAACCTCTCCTATTTGTGATTGCAATTTGAAATGGAAGCAGAGTTTGGTTTTGTGTCTTAGAACATGCTCTTTTCCATTCTATTGATAGGTGCCTCAGGTTAACTGACAAAAATAAATTATTCAATACTGATTTGCACAGTAATAAGATGTGCTTATGGGAGATTATGAATTCTTTTATTCCTTCCTCAGACCTCTCTCCCCACCTCCTCCCCCCTTAAATGACAACATCTATTCTGAGTTGGGTGAATGACTGAAGCAGGGAATGAGTAGGAAGACATTCCATTTCTAGGTCTCCAGCTTCAACCTAGTTCAGTTCAACGCTGCCCAAAAGAACTACAGAAATCCCTTGGAGCCCTGTCAACACAGCTCTAGTGGCATGAGACTTCTTCATATCGCTCACCATTGGAACTGGTGCCTGTTGTTTCCTTTGTTAGTTTGGACAAAAAAATCAAAGACAAAACATGAGCTTTTCTATGCCTACAAGAGAATCCTTCAAATTAGAGTTTGAGGCATATTTAAGAATAAGCTTGCACTGCTGCTAACTGTTGCAAGTAAGTTCTGCTGAAAAAGAAAGGCTTGAGTTTCTTTAGCTGTGGTTCTGATTCCTTTTACAAGCTGTTAACTCTATTAATAAAGAGAAAAGATTTCAATAGATCAAATACAAAAAATACATATTGTGTGCATAGTTCCTGTGATATGTTGTAAATTGACTTAAACTAAAGCATGACAAATTTGCCACTAGAAGGAAATCGATCCTGTACTATGATGTGATAGTAGTTACATTTCCAAATTATGAATCCCACTGGGCTGGGGATGCAGTGTTAGTCCTTTGAGTTGGTGTAGGTTGAAGTAGGCACTCAAGCTGAAGTAGGACTTCTGAGCCTCATCTTAGATGCACACCCATTCTGTTCCTTTTACTTCTTTCTCTACAAAAACAATTTTTACAGTAGAATTGTTGCATCTTGCAGTGTCTAAGCACGTAGATAGACAATAGAAGGCATGGAAATGGCTTCTAGCAGAGAAGGAGTGGGATGTGGTGTAAGAGTTTCAAATACAAGCAAAATGACAAATGTCTCTTCGGTAGCATTTGAGAAGCACTGACTTGTTTAGCAGCTTGACACGGAGCTGAGGTACAAGTGTGTTATCTGTAAAGTGAGAATACCCTGTCCACCTTACTCGGGTGTTCTTCAGGCCAGGTAACATGATGATAGGCAGCATTGTAGATCTGCTAAGAACAGGAGAACCAGTGTTTGCATTGATAGGGAAGGATGAGAAGGGTGACAGAAATATGTAGTAGCATTAGCTATGAATCGGAAAGCACTGAAACAACTAACTGTAAAGTGCCTGAGAAGAAAAAAAGTTCAACATAATCGATTAGTATCACAGGCACTGTGCATTAAAAAATGAAAAAGCCCCCGATTTTTAAGCATAAAAATGCATGTGGTCTTTTTTTCTCAGAGGATTCAGACTCAACAATTACTCATAAATAAGAAACACGAGCCTATTTAATGAGTAAACAGGGGCAATTAATTGCTTGTTGGTTGGGTTGGTTTTTTTTAAGATACCGTACTAAACAGGTTCTAATAGATTTCTGAATTCATTCTGACGTTTGATGACATCATGAAGCTTACGGGACATTAATTTTTAAATAGCATGCAAAGATGAATAAAAAAAAGTGTCTTGTGTCATGGGTTTTCAATATTTACATAGGGTTTTTTGTTTGTATTCTTTCAAAGTAAATTGCAAGAATCTGAGAAGAAGAACATGGAACTGCTGGCAGATATTGAAAGGCTGAAAAAGGAGACGGAAGAGCTCAGATCAGAAAAGGGTATGGCAACTGATATCCAAGTAAATAACATGTTTTGCATTGGTGGGTACATCTTATCAGTTAAGTGTCACCTTACAACCAAAATATGATACAACAGACTTCAGCACACAAAACCAATTGCATGTTAAGATGTACCCACAGCAGTTGCATTTGCACTTCTAATACGTACCTGTAATACACTTCAGTTTTGTTGATATATTTGAACCAGTAAGGTATTATTTGAGTTGGAACTACATTATTTTTATTTCACATGTGTATGATGATTTATTGGCAAAAAAACTGTTAAAAGTACAGATATATTTATGTGGTTTTTTCCCCTTTATGATGGATGAAAGTGTTCAGACTTCAATACTGGTTGTAGTGTTCTTAATCCGTGAATGTTTTGGACCTGTCTACACAGAGAGTAGACAACTGCAGAGGCATTTGTAGCATTCATTTGTTTCTGGGATGACTTCGTTGGTTGGCTTTGTAACCATGTAGTGAGCAGCGTGGTCATGTTTGCTTTGCTGTGGTATTAAGAGTATGTTTTGGGATTTCTAGTGCATCTGTCTAACAGTATTTCGCATTGTTGCTGGGAGAAGAAACTTTTTGGTAATTCTGAAATGAAAAAACTTCTCATTGAGAGATGATTAATGATTTGGCTGATTCTTTGCAGTTCCCGTAGTAGCTCTAGTGTTTGTATCTTATGAGTCACATGGGAAGAAGTGATTTTTCAGGCCAAATGGAATTACCTCATTTTCTGTAGGGAGCTGTTTGAACTTCAGAGTTTCAAGACCCTGGCAACAATTGCTGCAAAGGGATGTCAAATATTTTTCAGCCTTTGCAACCTAACAGTGTTTATCAATCAATAATGTATTGTAGTTAACATTCATCATCTATATATAGGTCTCCAAGTGCTGATTGACTGGTAAAAATATTACAAACCTATACAGAACGTTAAAAAATGACTGGTGCCAATTCGCAAATAAGACTTAGGGAATGGATATTGTTTCATCTTCATGCTTAGCACTGATACTAGGATTATGGTTCTTCAGGTGCTTGGAGTGGAACTCTTGATGTTATCTCCCTGGAGATGACAATGCTTTGTCATGTTTAGCTTTCATTTATAGATTCTTGAACTGTCATAAATATTTTACAAGGCTACGTGGCTTCTGAAATCTTCCTTTGCTGTTAAACGATCTGTTAAGAATTTATAATTAATATTTTACTCTGTATTTTTTCCAATATTTAAGACCTTATTGTTTTTGTGAAAATAGAGATAAGCATTTACTCTTTTCTTTTTTTTTTAAAAAAAAAGGAAAGAAAATGTACTCTTCAAGGAAAAGTTAGTTATTGTGCTTTTTGCCAGAAGTAGATTAATAAGATTCTACTACAACTATTCAAATATTTTGATAGAAGTACACCTTAATTCAAAATCCTTATTATGTTTGGCCTTGATTTTCTCTTATAAGAAGAAATATATTGAAGCTTGAATCATGAACTGTATAGAGGATTCAAATGTAGTCAATGTCCAGTGGTACAGTAGCTTTCTGTGTGTGGAAATGGATTTCTAGGAAGGGATTACTTAGATGAGCACTTGAATCCTTTCCTCTTTATAAATGTGTTCCAGAAGGTTAGGAGGGTGGGGAAAAGATTACTAAAAATGATTCTGTAAAGTAGTAGGTAATTTCAGAATTGTTTTTAGTCTTTTATTGAGGTTTCAGTTTATTTATATTTTAAAGAGGAAGGGGTTCTTTGTAAGTTCTTTGTTCACTGTGAGTTATATTTACATCAAATAGTGATATGGCCACTTAAAGCAAGACACTGACATTTTTTTTAAAACAAGAGTGACCTTTGATAGCATCAGTCTTTTGAGATGCACACAGTCCTGCTGCAGGCTCTGGTCATAAAAGTATATATAATGTATTTATAGTGTTCAGGAAGCTAGAGTTTGTACACATATGTGATTTATAAACACCCACATAGCAATTTGAATTATGCCCCAAAGAAAAGAAGAAGGTAAAAAAAAAAAAAAAGATGTATCAGTTGAAGCAGGTGAAAATCACAGTCAAGATGTGCCAGCCTCTGCAGCCCCAGAGGATGCAGCGCGTACTGGCTGAAAACCATGTAAATGGTGTAGCATGACAGAGATGTTTGAAGCTTTACCCAGGATTGCGTTACTCCGGAACGTTCAAACGTGAGAGGTGGCAGGCAGGCATAGCGCAGGGGTCAAGGGACCGTGTTCCCCAAACAGCCTGTTCTGTATGTTTTTGTGGAACCTAACTGTTTGCTAAATCTGTCTTGTCACGATAGCCACTCCGGCGTGTGACTAGAGCAGGGGTGACACCTGCTGCGTTGGCGTGTGTGCCGGTACGTCATGCAGTGCATGCTGCAAACGGACAGAAGCACGCGAGAAACCTGTGCCTTCTGCATAGCAGACACGTACAGGCAGTACGGTTTTCATGCTGAATTCACACCACACACATCTTAGCTGGGAAAAGGTTAATTAAACCTATGCTGCTTGCTCAGTGGATGTATGCCTGTTAAAAAAAAAAAATCTTTAACTCTGGAAAACAGACCAAATGTGACAACTCATTTAAAAAATGTAGGTGGTTCAGGTGGATACTCAAACCCCCATTCAGCAAGGCAAAGGTCCTCCATGAAAAGGTCGTTTTTCTGTAGCTTAAAAACCTGCTGCTGTTTTCTAGGTGTAAAGCACCAAGACTCACAGAATTCTTTCTTGGCATTTTTGAATGCGCCTACCTCTGCTCTGGATCAATTTGAAGTAAGTGTACAGCTATTCTGACTCACTGTTAGCGGAACTACTGCTGTTATGTGCAGGTTCTATGCATGTTTGCTGAGAGTTTCCTACTGCGTTTTAATCATACTGCCCCATTTATATTTGTGTGTAATAATACGTGAGAATTGTTTGTCATTTACAGTGCTGGCTGCCTACTCTTGAACACTAATAATCATAGTGAATTCTCTCGCAAATCTTGAATGCAGAAATTTCCCTGATTTTTGTAGTGAGCATAAAAAGCGGAGTTGTTCAAATGGCCTTACTTTGTCTTTAGAAGAATGCTAAGTAGTGCAGATACTCGTTTGGTAAAAATGAGAGAAAATACATAAATAATCCTTGAATGTATTCCATGAAGTTATTGGTACTGTATATTTACCAGGTTGTTTTCATCTTCTGTTCATTTTACAAAGATCTGTAAAATATAGATGATTACTGTCTCCTCTCCACAGATCCTATATACTTAAAAAATAAATCTATTTAATTACTTTGTCACTTTTAGACAAAAGATGAAGACAAAAATTGAAATGATACTGTACATTTCAGGTCTTTTTTTTAATCAGCAGTAAGCAATGCATCGTTTTTCTTTTGAAAGAACAGCTTGAGTGAAATATTTGCTATACTGAATTTAGACGGGACAAGGCACCACCTTTATAATTACACATTGATCTAAAATTTGCCTGTTTTTTTTTCCTGATGAGTGTACAAGGTCGTCGTATTTAGCCATGAAAAGCATAGTCCCTGATGTTACTGATGTTCCAAAATTTCCTTTATTTTCATTGTATGTTCATTAATTCATTGTTCTCTCTTGAAGTCCTCACAATTAACACCATTTTTTAGAATTTCCTTTTTAATTATTTGTCTTATAAGTTACTTTCAATATAAAAATCCTGCTGGAATGTAGGAATATTATATTGTTAAGTGAATCCTGGAAAACATTGAGTTTTATATGGGTAGCTTATTGATTAATTGTCTATGAAAGGCAATTAATGAAAACTTGCTGAGGCAACTGATAGCGGCACTAGTTATTTACAGTTCTTTATTTTTGCACTTTTATTTATACTGAACAGTTTTCTTCATCCATCTCTTTCTCTCTCTCTCTTTTTTTTTTACTGCTGTTTTCATTAAAATAGGATTCCTTTTCCTCCTCTTCATCCTCATTGATTGATTTTATGGATGACGTAAGTCTTTGACTTTCAAACCAGTAAATCTCTCAATAACAGAGATCAGTTAATTGATTTGGAATATTCAAACATTAATGCAGTCAACTTAAAGAAATCTACGAGTACAGTGGAGAACAGAATATTTCTATAATAGCATACTTACACCTATTTTATATAGATAGATGTTCAATTTTGAAGTAAATATTTTTCTGTAGATGAGGGTGAAGAATTCTTAATTGCAAACAGTTTTTCTAGTGAGGAAAAGCTGTTTTGGGGCCTTATCTACTGATACGGCCTGTGAAAATGGTTCACTGGCACATTTAATTCATTTAATTCTATTGCTTCATATTATTACTTTATCATTAGTTGTTTCCAGAAGTTTTCTCATCACTTCATTGAAAATGCTTTCCTTGCATACAGTTAAATTCTGTTTGCTCAAATAACATATTGTCTCTTTTTTAGCCTATATTGTTAAGTAGTAATTTCATTACAACTGAAGTAAATTTACTACTTCTTATTGCCATTTGAGATGCTAGTTTTCTGTCAGGACAGTATTTAAATATTTACCCTAGTTAATTGCATACTAAGAGAATTGAGTTAAAAGCTGAAAATTGACTTCATTATGTTTCTTGCAAACTGGAGAAATAGACACATCAAAGTAAATAATAATAAACTTTTTAAAATCAAAGTATATGCTATACATCCATGGTAGAGAACCGTCCATTACAACTCTGTAGGTATATTGTGTGTGTATGTCACGTCTAGATGTGCTTGTATGTATGTGTATACACGTACACACAGATTTATACTTACGTATTTAAAATAGTATAATCCTATTTGCATTAAAATGTGATATAATGAATTCTATTCCAGAAATTTCTGCTGTAAAGGGTGTTACAAAGAGGGTGCAGTACATGGGGCCTATTCTACTGATCACGTTTTCTTTCACACTGAAGGAACGCTTTTCTTCTAGATGATTTTTTTCTGTAAAACAGATAATATATCTTAGACAAAAGGTGAAGGTATATTTGTGGTACCGTAGTAGAAGGTATTTGTCTGCATTTTTGTATAGTGTATAGAAAACCTTGTCTTGCCGATATTGTTTGAATTTTCTTACATGAAAAAACCAGTACAGTTTCCTGTCATGTTAAATCTACAGTAAATGAGTAGTATTTATATCCTTTTCTGGATTAAAGAAGTTTTCGCTATGTTACCTGAGTATTTGGAACACTTATTTTGTATCAGCAGGTTCTTTCATAGAAAGTTACCTTTAAAAATACCTAATACTCTCTCCTAAAAGCTGTTCAAAGAGAAATAAAATACATATGTGGCAGAGTAGCTGATAGTGTTCTATTTTGCAAGGAGAAACTTAGGACAAGAAAGTTTTCCTTGTTGTTATCTAGTTAGTTTTGAAGGACATCAGTACTTTATTCTGTATTGTTGGCTGGTTTTGTTGTGGGTTTTTTTTTAAGAAGGCAGCTTTTTTTTTTCACAAGCATTTTGACATAATCACATTTTTTTCATATATGCAAGCGATTAATTTTCAACTGTCAGAGTATGTCCTTTAAGACATGCTTCTTGATCAGTCCACCCAGATCAAATCATTTCAGATAACCCGTGTTTTAGTCTTTGGTAAAACTCTAGGTATTAACATGTATATTGTTGCATGTGAATGACTTAATATATGTAGAATCAAACTTCCCTTGTTACATCTTCAATCTGAGTCCAACAGGAGTGTTTTTTCCTCAGTTGCATTGGACATGGGTACATTTCTGGACTGGACTGGCCAGGGACTAACATCTCCAGCACTGAGGCAGATTTCTTTCTCCTCTGGCAAAACTGCAAAAGAAGAGAGTTGGCTGTTCAAAGATAGGAAGAGTACCTTGCAGACAAATACAAGATTGCTTGAGTTACCTGTCTTTATTAGAAAGAGAAATAAAGCTGATGTCCATGTTAAGGTGAAAGGTGGTACAACTGAGTTGTGCTTAAAGTTAGTTCTGCGTCTTTCATTTATTGGCCAATAACAGGATTCATTCATAGTGAGATTCATAATATATAGCCTCTGAATTACCAAAATGATCGTTTATGTTTTAGCTTATTGGGTTGCTTCAATATGGAAGTGTTGGGCAGAGTTAAATGAAAATAAGGGTATTAAAAAACCCCTCCCCAGTGGATGTGGCCGCTATTCCCTTTCCAATGGCTCTTTTTGACAGTAGTTACCTAGAAGGGCAGGGTTTCTTGTAACCTTTCTGGAAGAATTAATCTGTGCTCGGTCAAACCTGAGAAGTGTGTGAGTTCTTCATAGTAAAACCAAGGAAAAATTGTAACTCCTCAGGTCAGACTCATGCGGTGCTGCAATATTGCATGGATTTCAGGAAAGTCTCTCCTGTAATCAAGAGCCCAAAGTAAATATCACTAATGACTAGTATTTTTCTCCAGCCTCTGTGCTTGGAATGACACAGTGTGTAAAATAATATTCAGTTTTAGTTACATTTTGCAAGATCTCTGAAGTCTATTTAACATAGAGATGTGTAAGAAGTGCTGAGTTTGGCCCACTGATTACATTTGGAGTTTACTAGGGCGCTTATGTCTTGTGTGCCCGCCATCCAGGTAACGTAATTGTTTATAGTGCTCTGTCAATGACTGAAGTTAATTCTAATTAATTCTCAATGAGGAAACCAGTAGCTTTGCAATTTCTTCTGGAGGGAAGTAAAAATAGATATCCTGCTGCCTCTGTAGCCTGCAGGTGCGGAGGAAGAAAAGTAGTAGCTCACTATTTAGATGAGTAGCTGTTGCTGTTGGCTTCAACTACCCCTCCTCAAATCCATAGAAAGATACTTGATCAGGTGGGCAGAACTAATCCTCATAGCTGTGAAAGCCCACGCATTCAGAAATGATCCTTGTATATTCTGTGCACCCAGGAGGAATGGGTTTTGCTGCCCCTGGTTTCTCGTGTTGATGGGGAGGAGTGTCACCCCCAGTGACTAATACACTCATTTCTAAATCTTTGCCACTGTTAATCCTGTGTGTTGCAGACTGTCTCTCAGTAACGTTGTCTAGGTGTTAAGTCTCCTGTGTTCACTAGAAATGTCTGATAATGGAAGTGTTGGGTTTGGTTTTTTTGCCAGGTGAATCTTTGTGTATCTCACTAGCTACCAGAAGCAATCAGCTTGTTTTATTTAAAGATGAATTTGTGATTATTTACTAACAATAAAATGGAATCCCATTTTCCCTGACAAAATCATTTTCCCCACGTGCTATAAAATATTATTTTTCCCCTGATATCAACAGATTACAAATTAAAAATAGATCTCTCAAATCCCTCTGCAATCTGTCCTCACATGCTGTCCCCATTGGCTTTGGTTAGACTAAACAAATCTGAACTTTCTAAGTAACCACAGAATAAATCATGTTCTGAATTCTCCTTATTAAACAGAATCGTAGTGCCTAGTGCATGGTGAGAGCCCTGACTCTACCTGCACATTCATAATTAAGTTTAGAATAATTCTGGCTCTTAAGGATACTTCAAATTGGACATGTTGTGCCTCCAAGAGATTGCTTTATTCATCTTATTCAAAGTACAGAGATACTAACTGCAAATTATTAGTGTAACGTTGTCTGCAGTTTCACTGATATTATCCAGGGTAAAACTACAGTTAAAACAGCTGTTCTTTTTTTTTTAATGTTTCTCTCGTTTCCCCAGAATATCTTGTTTTCAGAAATACTTGTAAAAAATGAACATGTTTGTGTATGTCTAAACACTACCTCTGGAGACACAGAGTGATGAATTCTGAGATGATGTGTGTGTCACTATTTGGTTTTGTAACATATTCTCCTCCTTTCTTTGTTAAAGCGCTCTCCTTCCTGTATTCCAGCTAACAAAGGCAGACGTGTAAGAGGCTGTCCTACTCTATGTGGCCCTTTATTTTTTGCCTGTTGTGTACATGCCTTTGTTTAATGTATGGATTGTGTATTTACCTCACTGCATGTCTTGTGCTGCTGCTACCGTTTGCTGCTGCTGCTGTGCTTTTTTGTTGTTTTACAGCTGTGGGCTAAAAGCTTTCAGAGTATTTCATTTGGTAATCCTGTGAGCAGAATATCACAGTAACTGGAGAAGATGCTTTGGATACTTTCTGATTTCAATACGAAAGTTCTTTGTGAAAACTGATCCGGTAGATGCAGGTTGGGAAAGTGAGCGAATGTCAACTGAGAGCCTGTTTGTTTCCTCGCCCTGAGCAGAGGACGCGTGTTGAGTTACAGGAATTGCCTATAGAAGGCAGAAGCTTGGCATTTGGGAGGCATGTCATAGCAAATGACAGAAAATTTCACAGTACAAAGATAAATAAATGGGAAGTGAGGAACTGAGTAAATTGGAGTATGAAGGAGGGCAGGAAAAATTCAAAGAATTCAGGAAAACAAGGAAAACAGAGTTGGATGTGTTGTAGCCTGTTAAGCTGTTTCAAAATTCAAGGTGGATTTTTAAATATGATGTTACCAAAGCTTTGTCAGACAGAATTGTCCATTTTAAACTCATACTGCCACTTTTGTTTCTTTTATACATATATGATGATAGGAATAGGAAAGCATACAAAGCATTTGTATTGAATATTCAGTAAATAAGCAATAATGCCCAACAGCTCTAATAATGACCTTACCTATGCAGTTCAAAGCGCACTGCTGAGTGTCTTAGGCAAGCTTACAGTAACTGCTTGGTTTTGTTGGCTGTGGCTCCAATTCAGAAGTTCATCTCCTTTCAAGGTGCCTTTATACACTGGCCAGCTTTGGCTCAGACCTATACAGGTGACACCGCACACACAACTAAGCACAGTCCTGTAAAAGACTGTGAAGGCTACTACAGCTTGATAGGAAATACTGAAATATGCTTTTGATAATCCGTGGATTAGTGTAAAACTAATTTTAATGGTGTTAATACAGTCCATGTAAGCTTTTGGTTATATTGAGTCAGGTTGCTTTTGTACTTAGTTCTTCTCATTAAAGCAAGGATCCTGGAGACGACTGCAGCAATACAGCTTAGGGCCCTCTTTCCGCAGTGAAGGTGGTGGTTAAATTCCCTTCAAATTCTGTGATGGTAGATCAAGTTCTGTGTGCTTTGCAGGCTTTTGACGTTCATAAGTAAAGTAAAAATAAGTTTGTTACTTGTTCAGCAGTTGTCTTCAACCACAAAGGCTTTGTAGTACCACATTCCAGAAAAGTTCCATCATTTATATTATGCTTGTACTAAATTTTTTAAGAGGCATCATGAAAATTTTTTGGTATGCAGATGCTACTTTGAAAGGGAAAGCCTTTGCAGTATTTGGAGCTTTGAAAGCCTTTGGTCTCTCCTGAGGGGAGACCTGATTACAGCCTACAAATACTTGAGAAAAGGTGGTGGGGAAGTAGGGGAAGGGCTCTTTACATTAGTGTTGGGTGATAGAACAAGAGGAAATGGGTATAAGCTTAGTCAGGGGAGATTCAGGTTGGATGTTAGGAAGTATTTCTTCTCTGAAAGGGTTGTCAGCCAGTGGAATAGGCTGCCCAGGGAGGTGGTTGAGTCCCCATCCCTGGATGTGTTTAAGAATAGGATGGATGATCTACTTAGCGATATGGTTTAATGGGGATTAGGGATGGTTGGACTGGATGATCTCTAAGGTCTTTTCCAACCTAGAAATCTATGAAATCTATCTGGAAATGTTTATGAAATTGTAGATTAGATCTCTGAGTTTAACTTGCAGAAGAAAAGGAGTGTCTGTTTCTTGCTATAAAAAATTCGCCCGTAGTTCCTTATTGGGCTTATTTTTTAATAACACTTTTAAGAAGAAGGTAGAATTTTCTGAAGTTCAACAGTCTTTGAGTGTACTCCGAGTTGTCCCATGTTTAGACTCAGTTAAGTACAAAAACAATAACAACAACAACAAAAAAACCAAAACCAAACACGTTTAAAATAGTTGAAACAGTGTTATGTGCCTGTTGATTTACTTCTTAAAGGCATCAATGTTTCTAATACTGGATAAAGCTGCCAAGTATTATTTATTGCTGATAAATCTGAGCACAAAATGTTTGCTTTACTGCTAATTTTTGCCTCAATGCTTGAAACACATGATCTATGTGTAGAAAACAGGTGTATCCCAGTGTGACAATTTCCCGTTTTCGTTACAGAAATACTTGCAGGCATCTTAATATGCCTAAATTGATGAAGTTGATGAGCATTCTCCACTAGATACTTTTTTTTGTTGTTTGAAGGCTATGATAAAACTAGAAGCCATCAAACTTAACTCTCTACTATTAAAAAAAAAGAGAGAGAAAAGTGAAAACTGCAACTGCTGCACCTGTTCGCTACCATGACTGAGTTTCTGAAGAACAGGATTGTATATGCATGTATAAGGTTGGCTTGGCAATATATTTTCTTCCCCAAAAGTAGTGAAATTTGTCAAATTCTTAGTATGACATCAGTGGCAAATGAGACAAAAAACACTGGAATGTTCAAATGCTTTCTGTAAATGTTGCTGCATATTTTAGTTTGTGTGCAAGCTAGCCAAAGCCTTAGCAATGGGGAGCTGATGATAGCATTGCTCCAGCCAGGCATGCAATGGAGCCTTCTGTAGGCCTCCAGCTTTTAGTTTTATTATTAGTGAAGAAAAGCGTCCTCATCTTGCTTTAATTTTTTTAAAGAAATATAAATTTGCATAGAAAACTTTGATGTAGAGGTGTCTTGTTCGGCATTCTGTGATTTTTCAATTGTGCTGACAAAAGATGGCTGTTATCCAAGATAGCTGGTCGTATCTATATGCCTTGTTGTTCAGTATAGTTCTGTGTTGGGCTTAGTTTCACTGTATATCAAGGACTAGGAAAATAGTCCCCTGGACAAACTGTATTCCTGGTAAGGATTTTTGTATTTCAGATATAGGGTACAAAAACCCCCTCAATTCTCTGTGAATCTAATCAACACTAATCTAAGGAAATACGTTGTTTGCTCTGCCTTTTCACCTTATTTTCTCCTAAATATGTTTGCAGTGATTTACATGGACTGTATGGGAATTCACTTCTAACAAATCTCTACTACCAGTGGACCAAATGTGACAGTGTTAGAAAATACCCTTTAAAAATGCCAAATTACAAGTCCCTTCAAGTGTTTATCAGGCCCTGAACTAGCAGCTCTTATGCATGTGCTCACCTCTCAGCAGAAGCCTTGGCGTATTCATATTCGATAACTTTTGTTGCATTTTTGTACCTTAATTAGGAAGTTGCTTAAAACTGATTTTTTTTCCTCTCAGTTCTCTCTTAGGAATTCTGCTGTTCCCATACCTTATTTTAGTAAGAGTCGAGAATTCTTTTTTGATGATGTCTTTGATTTATTTTTTTGGTTGGTTCTTTTTTTTCTCTTGGATTGTTCTCCTAGATTGACTCAGTTGAGAATTTTACATTGTCTAATACACCATCACGGGATGAAGATAGCAAGTCTCACCTCCATTCAAGATCAAGGTCTCCTTCTACAGCTAGTGAGATTGAACCAATTGAGGTACTTCAGTGTTGACAAATTTTTGTCCTTGTTTTAGGAGCAACAGTTTCACTCATATGAAAGTTGCTATTGCGAATCCTTTTGTTTAGAATGAAGCTCACTCCTCTGCAGAGAGACTGCTTAGGACCTTGTAGTAGCCTTCTGCACTAGTAGTGACCTGTATTTTGGGGAATGTTGCATTTCCTTTCACATACAGTTAATTGATTAGGAGTGGGAACTATGTTGAGTCAATTACTAGGTACAGTCTCTCTTCCTTAACAGATCCTCAGTCAAGAATACTTAAGAAATGTTGGCATAAAGTTAATGTTATCCTATAGTTTGTAAGAGCACGTTTTAGAATCCTGCCGAAAGTCTTGTCAACATAAAATACTAGTTAGGCTGTGCAACTATATTAATGTATCCCCTTTCCCTGTTAAAAAAATTTTACTCTGATTATTTTACGTTAGAAAGGATTCAACCAAATGTTTAAGATAATAGAGTTACTTTTGGCATTTAAGAGATGGCTCTTGCACATAGTTTTTGCTGAGAAATAAGATTTGGTTTTCTGAGTCCTTTCCTGTATTAATCAGTTTGGTTTCATTGCTTGTATGTTTGGGGATGGGGTGGGTGGGATGTTGTAGTCTTTTTACTTTATTCAAGCTATCTTTCATAGTGTGTATTTGATGCCTTATTGATCTTTTGGGGACTATGTTCAGGTTACGGATCATCCTCCCCGTTCAGTTCACACACCAACCATGAGGACAGCATATATTGGATCGGGACTCTCTGCACCAAAGGTACGCAGTCAAGCGTTCACACTTTTTATATAGTAAAGGGAAAAATATCACTCCTGGGCAACAGCTTCAGGAGAACTGTTCATCACAGTAGTCTTAACAGAACTGCCTAGAAGGGTTGTTTATATGGAAGCTGCTTGCTGTCTAAAATTTAAAACCTCTCATTCTGAATTTATGTGGTATGACAAGTTGTCCTAGCCATTCCACAGGCATTTGATTACAAGAAAAACAGTAGTTTGGACGTTAGAAAGAGATAAATGAACCAGAACATGAAGAAAGGAAGAGAGACTTCCTAGAAAGAGATTGTTTTCCAGCATGTGTCTGATCAACCTGCGTCTATTCTCTACATAAAATAAAACTGATGTCACTGTGGGCCAGTCTCAGATTAGCACGTCTGTGTGCTAATTAGATGCTTATTTTTGAGAAAAGGCAAAGAGTAAGCCAAAAATGAAACTGTAGATTTGCATTTTTTTATAAGCAATGTAGAGTGAGCCCTACAGCTAGTACCGCAGCACTGGGCTGGGAGAAAGAATTTCAGGTTTTTTTACTTGCATAAATACTGATTTTACGTCAGTTGTTGAAATTAAGTTACTGTTGGCCAATTAAGTGAGTCAGTGTGTGCTAATTCACAGTGAATCGCATATATTCAAGCAAATAAGGAGTAAGATACAAGCTGTTAAAGGAAAAATTTTCTCATAAAAGTTTCAGAAGTGCCTCGATGGCTTAACAACAATAGCAACTTAGAATCTTCTGTGTATTTTTAAAAAATGACATTTTTTTCTGCAACTAATCAATGAAGTAAGTAAGTCTTTGTAATATATCTGTTTCTCTGCTTTGATAAATTGCAAAATAGCAAAAGTCTTCATTTTTATAAAGGAAAGCTAAAAAGTTTGAGCACAGAGTGTTCTGTTGGCAATGTCCTGGTAGATCAATTAAAAAAATACTGTAAGTGCACTTGGAATTGTGTGAAACAGATTTTACTGTGCATATAATTTCTTTTTTGCAAATGCTTTGTTCAGTGAGTAATGGTTGGCTTTCTCATTTATTATGTTCCCTAAAGAACCTTCTTACTTTATGATTGCATCAGTTTTAAAGCTAAGTATTGTTTCCCTGCAAGTTTCAAAACAAGACATCCATCTGTAGACAGAAAGCTTCCATTGTCACAGTAAAACTGTCATTAAATATGGATGAAGTTTGAGCCCTTAGCTGTGATACCTTATGCTATGAAAACCAGGAAAGCGAATAAAATTTTAATATACCTACTCATTAAAGTAGTTGGCAAAATTATCTCATTTCAGATCACGTACATCAGCCAGGTTGTTTGGACAGCTTTTGTGTTCAACCTAGGCTGTATCCTTTCTCCACCTACTAGTTGTTACTTCGCTGGGAGTTTTTTTAGAAACGCAAAGCAGCTTCCCGGTTTTTATATAAGACCTTTTATGAATCATACTACCACATGACCTAGTCATTTAGCCTTGATGTCATAGCATCAGCACTGCCCTCCTTGAGAGGAGAGAGAGAATTAAAACACTTACTCATATAGTCTGTACTCATGTACTCATGTACTCATGTACTCAAGAGTACTCATGTACTCTTCCCAAGAAGAGTAGCCCTTTCAAAATCAACTTCATCTATACTCTTGCTTTTAAATTGGGTCTTCTGAAATTGCCTGTGCCTGACACCATAAAACTGAATTCTATCATGCTTTCTGGCAAAAAATTAGAATTCTGAGAAAGTCTGATATTTTTCTTTGAACTAAGCCAACACTTACAGAGGTACTTTGAATTTGCAGCTTAGAAAATGCTGTGGTTGGTTGACCTTGGCTGGCCGCCAGCTGCCCACCAAGCACATACATGCACACGTTCAGCTTCTAGAGTGCAATGGAATAATTTTGGCAACTTTCCTATCTGCAATGGAAGCAAACTCTTGTTCTTAGACAAGGTCCAGTTTCCATGGTTTCGTTTACAGAGCCTGGTTTAAATTTTCAGTAACGAGCACCGATAAGGAGTTTTTTTTCAGCCCATGTGTTAGGAGCTCTGATCTCATTTCAGCAGACACAAATAAGCTACCTTTTTAAGTGGATCTGTGCACTCTTATGTCTGTGAAAAAAAAAACTGTTCTTCAGAAGTGTTACAGGTATTAACATCCCTGTCTGCTTGTTTCACAGCCTAAAGCCCACCAGTTTGTAGTGAAATCATTTAATACACCAACAAAATGCAATCAATGCACATCTCTGATGGTCGGTTTAATACGACAGGGCTGTACTTGTGAAGGTAAGCACTTGTAAAAGCAGGAAATGTGAACTGAAGTTCTTAACAGATGCAAATTACACAGTAAATGTGGTGTGATTATGTAGGAGTTGTCTTTTTATATTTTGAATAACAGAATCTATTCTTGTGCTTCAGTCTTTTAAGAGTAGAAGCCAAGCACTTTGAACATCTTATGTAACAGATTACCTAGTTATCTGGGGATGTACTTATTCCAGTTGGTGGTAGTAGAGCTTAGTTCAGTTTACTTAAAATAGCAATGGGGCTGCAGTCAGTAGTCAAGTATGATGACAGCAGCTTTGCTTTCTCACTCAGGGCAAAATATAAGCCAGCTTTGCCTTTTAGTACCAATTTTGCTTCTTTCCAGAACTTTTTACAAGGGCATGTAGCAATAGGACAAGGGGCAATGGCTTTAAACTGAAAGAGGGGAGATTTAGATTAGAGATAAGGAAGAAATTTTTTACAATGAGGGTGGTGAGGCTCTAGAACAGATTGCCCAGAGAAGCTGTGGATGCCCCATCCCTGGAAGTGTTCAAGACCAGGTTGGATGAGGCTTTGAGCAGGCTAATCTAGTGGAAGGTGTCCCTGCCTGTGGCAGGGGGGTTGAAACTAGATGATCTTTAAGGTCCCTTCTGACCCAGACCATTCTATGACAATTTGTTCTAGGTTTGTATGCACACAGAATGACACTCATCATTTAGAGGAGCTTCCAGCTTTTTCTTTGCTAGTAGAGTTGGGCCTAGAGGAAATAATAGACATTATCTCAGTATGAGCTTCTGATGAGTCTCTTTCTTACCTAGACGAAACCAGATTGTGTGTCCATACACCTCTAAAAATGAGAATTTACAGCAGATAAAAGCATAAACTGCTGCCGTGCGCAGACTTAGAGACTGTCTCGGTGTAGCAAAGTTCAGTGAAACTAAGAAGTTTTTGGTCAAGAAAAGAGAGAATTCCTTTATAAATGTCATCTCATTATCATAGCTTTTCAATTGCACAAGAAATAACCATCTAATCATTTTGTTTCTTCTCCTCCTCACAAGTATGTGGATTCTCTTGCCACGTGACGTGTGCAGACAAGGCTCCTGCAGTATGTCCAATCCCTCCTGAGCAGACTAAGGGACCTTTGGGAATAGATCCACAGAAAGGCATAGGAACAGCTTATGAAGGACATGTCCGAGTAAGTATCAGGTAGCTGCATTTGGGGCAGTTCTGTTAAATTTGTTGTTTTCTGAAGCTGGAATTAAACTCTAATTGGGGCGTCAGGGGTGATGGATTCAATTACAGCTTAAGGTAACAGTTTGGAATCTTAGACCTAAATTTTCACAAAGCAACGCTTAGCATTTTCAACAGTAATTCTCTCTCCATCTCTGTTACCTGTTGTGCTTTGTGTTGATCTTGAGTAGTCCATCTATAGAAATCAGATCATCTTCCAGGGCCTGTGAGTTTTTGAGTCTTTCTGTTGATGCTAGTACTGCCTAAGGTCATTGGTGTGGATGCTTGTACATAAATACTAAAAAGATTACTCGACATAGTTTTGGCTATGCACCTGTTGACCAACTAGAGATGGGTTTGTTTCTCTATATTTGTTAACTTCGCTTTGAGTGATTTTATGAAATAAGAAGAAAGCATCTGTGGTGCTATGAATTTTTCAAATAATATGCTGTGGTGCCCAGTGTGGCTGTGTTTGATGCTCTTACTGCACCTGTGCTATTATGTTGCTTAACGTTATTGTGGAATAAAAGCTTGGCAGCCTAGATGAGAGAATTGAGGTTTCTACTGTCTGTCTGATTTTTGATTGCATGCAAACTTACAGAGAGTTAATCAAATTAATCAGAATTTGTTTTTCTAAAGATACCAAAACCAGCTGGAGTAAAGAAAGGTTGGCAGAGAGCGCTGGCAGTGATCTGTGATTTTAAACTCTTCCTATATGATGTGGCAGAAGGAAAAGCATCCCAACCCAGCGTGATAGTGAGTCAGGTCATAGACATGAGGTAAGCTGTTTGGTGCTGAGTGGGAGCGTTTCAGAGGCACTGGGAGGGTTTTTTCGGCTTTTCCTTTTTGTAAAATCAGTAAGCAAACTCCAGAGCTTTTATAAACCACTGTAATCCTTGTTGAGAGCTTCTAATTTTCTGGGAAAAAAGGAGTATTTGCAGTTAGCCTGAACTCCACTTGAGTGTTCACCTGTGGCCATTTAAACTTCCATTACTACATCATGTGCCAAAAGGTATCTGTTCAGCTGTGCAGAAGATCTGGAATGAATAAAGAAGAAGAATACACTCTTTTGGGTTTGAATAGAGTTTTGAAAGACAGATAAAACTTTGTTATAGGATAAAACTAATACAATTTTTGATTCAGAAGGGCTAAATAGTTTGTTCCCACTGTCTCCAGTATTACTGAAATACTACCAACTTCGCTGAAGGCTGAGAACATTTAACATACCAACTAAGTAAAGCTCATCTCTGAACTAGGTTAGTTTATCCAGTAAGTTTCAAACAGCTGTACCTTGTAGCTTATAGCTTCTAGTGAGTGTGGATTTTTATGAGAGAGTTGGAGAGGTGTTCTTGGTCCAGGCTTATTTTTTGAGTATTTTAATTGTTTTGTTTTTTTAAAAAACATTTTAATTTAAAGAGAAAAAAAAACCAGATACTCTGAGTAGATTTATCTCCATCAACATTTACCAGGAATTAATTATGTAACATTGCATTTGTGAGTTTCATCTGCTATAAAGAGGAAAGGATAATTTTCAAAATTAGATCTCAGTGCTGCCTTGTTGTGTCTTTCATAAAACAAGGTTACTGGTACTATGGCAATATGAGTAAAAAACAAACATACAGATGTTACTCTCGCTAACTCTTTTCCTGTTATGTTTGTGGTCTCCATAAGGGATGAAGAATTCTCAGTGAGTTCTGTCTTGGCCTCAGATGTCATCCATGCAAATCGAAAAGATATCCCCTGTATCTTTAGGGTAAGTATTACATCTTGAACCTAGTAACCCAGGAGTACAAGGTTTCAGTGTGTGATGTGCAGTGTGCATTCACTGACAGCTTGCTAGTATTTTATTTCCTTTGCAAGATCTGGCAGCATGATATCCATGGCAGCAACAGCAATGCATAAGGATCTCTACGTATGGCATTTTCGTGGCAAAATTAGCAGCAGTACATTTAGACAAGCTCTCTTGTCCTCTTTATGTCGTTTTTTTTTGATTTTTTTAAACCTTCACAATAAGATATACTTTTCTCAACCTCCTGTTAGTCATTTGGAATTCTTCTGTTCTTCATGAACTTCTACATTTTTGTTTCCTAATGTTACCTTCTGCTTCTCAGTTTAATTTGTTGTGTTATTTTTGAAACTTTTCTTTTAAATATTTCTTTGTATGTATGCATTGGATCTCTGGAAACTCGCACTCATCAGGTAGTCAGTATAGAAATCTAGTGTAAAATACTCATAAAAATATTTATGTCTATTATCTGGTCTCAAAATTTTGCCATCACTGACTTTTTGTAATATTTTTTTTAATTTTACTAGATATTCTGCTGAAGCTTTAATGTCAATGAAATATCTTTAGTGTCTTATTAATTCCCCTATTGTTTCTTTACCATACCATTGTATTTCACTCCTTGTTTTTCTGGCTTTCAGACTGTTAATCAGATAAAGCTACAAAAGGGGTTTCATTTTTATCTGTAATAGCTGTATCAAATACATGAAAAGGATCATAGATCATTCTACCATAAAGACCATTCCTATTGCATTAAACTATTAATGAAAACTATTGTTCTTTAAAAAATACGGAATACTTTGTAAGAAATGCTTTTTGGTACAAAATTACCACAAGAAGCAGATGACTACCTTATTTAGGGCAGACACTTCCAAATTATAGACTAAATACAAATGCATTTAGAATAAAGCCAAAGTTTTTTCAGTGCCTTGCTGAGTTATTCACATCTACAGGTTCTTCTGCTGTGGATTCTTGATTGCAATAGAATGTTTTCTATTAACTAAGCCTAAATTTTTGCATTCTTAATCTAGACAGCAAATTAAAAGGGCACTTAAAGGCATCCTTTGTAAAAATGACTGATTTTTTTATCACCTGTGACTTAAAAATACATATTTTAAAATTTTCCAGGTCACAGCCTCCCAGCTCTCTGCATCCAGTAATAAGTGTTCAATCCTGATTCTGGCAGACGGTGAGAATGAAAAAAGCAAGTGGGTAGGAGTGCTGAACGAATTGCATAGGATCTTGAAGAAGAACAAACTCAAAGACCGCTCAGTCTATGTTCCCAAAGAAGCTTATGACAGCACCTTACCCCTCATCAAAACAACACAGTCAGCAGCAATCATAGGTATGAAATGACTAAGAAGAAAGCTCTAAGAAAAATGGGTAGGCTAAAAGCATGCTTTTTTTTCCCAAAAATGTGCTAAATGACCTTATCTACTGAATAGAGAGTAATATGTAGCAGTTTTATCCCATATGGACATGTGTGTGGGTTTAAGGGAGAAGTGCGATTCAACACCCAGTACTTTTGTCAGCTCTTTTAACAATACTCCCCCTATTCACACATATTCATAAAAAGGAATAATTTTGACTGAGAATTGGACTTTACCCTTTCGTTAGTCTGTAAACATCATTCCTTAACTGGGGAAAATGAGCACTATAGAATAGACATCAGTCTCTGACTTCATAAAATCTTCTTGTGGAACCAGAGAGAGAATGAATTTAGTAATTTTAAATGCTACTGCATAAAATTTATTAAACTCAGATTATTTATATTATTTAAATGTGATATTATAGTTACTGCAAAGTCGGTAGTACACTTAAGTGCTCTGAATGTTTTGTAAAAAATTATGTTTCTTGTTGTTACATCTACTAATAGGAGAAATGGGAAAAGATTTATTTTTTCAGAAATTTGAAAGATTGGGAGGTTACCAATGTTTTTTTGTTACATGAGTGTGTTGTGTTTGGCTTTGTATTTGTTTATTTCAAGGTATTAAAAAACTGTCTCTGCTAATCAGAATTATCACTATTGTTGAAGTAGTATTTCCAAAGAAAAATAATCTTTTTTTTCTTAATATCATAGACCATGAAAGAATAGCTCTGGGGAATGAAGAAGGGTTATTTGTTGTGCATGTCACCAAAGACGGTAAGAGTTCAGGAAATGGTAATAATTTCCTTAATATTAAATAATCAGAAAACTACTTTGTAACTTTTTTTCTCTTTCAACATCCTCTGGTTTCATTTTTCTCAATTTACTTTATTATCAGCTGGACAGCCTCATGTGAGATCTGGTAATGAAGAAGGTGTTCTGTGTACTTTCTGGTTTGAGTGTCCTTTCCAGTAACAGAGATCCAGCATCTGGAACGCAGCTGGAGGTTTTATTCCCTTGTTTGAAGCAGACTCAATAGTGAATTCAGACCAGGTTGCTCAGGGCTTTGCCCGTTGGGTCTTGAAAATCCCCAGGGATAGAGGTTCATGATCTCTGCGGGCTGCCTGTTGCAAAGTGTAATTATTCTCACAATGAAACAGCTTCTTTATATATCCAGTTGGACTCCCCCCCTCCAAACACACCCCTCGTTTCAATTTGTGACCAGCATATCCTTTTCTCCTGCTGTGTACCTCAAGAAAGATCCTGGACCAATCTTTTCTGTAACCTCCTCCTTGGTATTGGAAATGAAAGCTTATGTTCAGTGTTGTAAAGAAATGTAATGACAGATTACAAGCAACATGTTCAATTGCATGTTTCAGTTCTTTGGGAGTTTTCCTTTATTGAGTAGTTTTGTGGCTATAAACTGTTTATTGAAATGAATGCTGAAATAATACAGCAGTTGTTGTTGCATTGAATCTGCTCCTCCCTTTTTCTGATGAGGAAAAGCCAAAGGTCTATCCAGTATTGTCACATCTGCTAGTACAAGTTTTGATTCTGTACTTTTTAATAATGCAGGGAAGGAATACAGGGGATTTCTCGGGTTTATTTCATAGTTTATATTTGCAAATATATATGTTTTAATCAAATCACACTTCAATGTTATTTACTTGGATTTGGGGGTTTCTGTTTTGTTTTTTTTTAGAGATTATCCGTGTTGGTGACAATAAGAAGGTTCATCAGATTGAGCTTATTCCAAATGAACAGCTCATTGCAGTAATCTCAGGACGAAACCGTCATGTGCGGCTTTTCCCTATGGCTGCCCTGGATGGAAGGGAGACTGAGTTTTATAAGCTGGCAGAGACGAAAGGCTGTCAGTCAATAGTTTCTGGACATGTGCGCCACGGAGCTCTTACGTGCCTGTGTGTAGCTATGAAAAGGCAGGTCCTCTGTTATGAACTAAATCAGAGTAAGACACGTCACAAAAAGATCAAGGAGATCCAAGTCCAGGGGAACGTCCAGTGGATGTCAGTCTTCAGTGACCGTCTTTGTGTGGGCTACCAGTCAGGTTTCTTAAAATATCCCCTTCACGGAGAAGGCAGCCCATACAGTCTGCTCCATCCAGATGACCACACGCTATCATTTATCTCACAGCAGCCAACGGATGCCATCTGTGCAGTCGAAATCTCGAATAAAGAATACCTGCTGTGTTTTAGCAGCGTAGGGGTTTATGTTGACTGCCAGGGCCGAAGATCTAGACAACAAGAATTGATGTGGCCTGCAACTCCATCTTCTTGCTGTAAGTTGCCATGTGTGTCAGTGTACTTGCTATTATACATTGAAGTGATCACTGCTTGTATTAATATCCACAGGAGGTGAAGTTCAAGGATAATTACCTGACAGGTAAATGAATGCTCTCAGCTTCTGTCAGCATTTTTAATCTGGTCAGAGGGTTTAATTCTTGTTCTCATTTGTGCTGGTTTTGACATCTCTGTCACTGACCTGTATTGCTGTAGCACAAAGAGGAATCAAGGGTCAGGATTTCTAACTGACATCCAATTTCTAAACACATGGCCTGATCTCTAAAACGGCCGAAGGCTTCAGGTCCTACAGGGGCTAACGGGATCTTTATGGATTAGCTACCACAGATAGTGGACTGTTGTTATTTAAAGTCTTAAAATTTGATTGTACTTTGGCTCAGCATTGTGATTCAAGCTTTCTTTGATGTTCAGAGTCATCAGGATCTGGTAGTATGATGCTTTTCTCTAATGGGGTTATTTTCTTTCCTTGCTCCTTTGTTCTGTCTTCCTCAGCAGGTTTTGTTGACAATCTTCTCATTCATCTTCTCTCTTTGCTTTTTTAAAAACAGTTTTCCCCCTCTGTCTCCCTCTTCCCTTCGCAAATACAATGTGTGGCAGGCAGTATAGAAAATATATTTCATAACCTTAAGGGAAAAATAGTGCAATTTTTCAATATTTCAGTTTTATCTTTGTGACAGTTGGAGGGGAAAAAAAGACCTGCAATGTCTATCTTCTTCTTCTTAATATCTCTCTGAATGCAGATAAAGATTAGCCAAATTTGTCCTCAGAGTATCTGTGAATGAGCCCAGGCTTATGTTGATTTTTAAAATAATCTGCCTTTTTACCTCGCTGTGACAACAGTACAGTCACACTGCAGAGGAGAGGAATGCTTCACCTTGTTTGAGTGAAATCCCTTCTGAATGTGAAAGGAGCAACTTTTACAGGCTGTATGTCACTTCTGGTTTTCAAGCAAGAGGGTGATTATTACAATGGACTCAGAGAATGAATGAATCAAAAAGATTTTGTGATAGATTGCAAAACACGTGTTTTCACATGTAGTTCATCTATACTGGTTATTGATATTTGTGAAAGTTTCTTGATTGCCTTAAATGAAGTGACTTGATGTTACTCCAATTCAGAATGGCAGTATAGTTATAGCAAAAACTGTTATATTTAAATACAAATTGGATGCTCTTGTTAGGCTTGGCAGACCGTGGCAGTCTTGTTGCCAACAAGGAAATACGGAATTCTCCTTTAGAAGTGGGCCCAGTGGAACAAATTTCATCCTGGGGAAATGTGCCAGATGAGCAGCACAAGAATTATTTTTACAACCCAGAATATAAGAAAAGAGAATTAAAGCTAGAAGGAAACATCAAGGTTTTTATGACTGTGTCATGGTGCTTAGTTCCAACTGATGTTCATTTAGTGCATAGTCCAAAGACTAAGAGCTCAGTTCATTCAAGTGACGGTTAGTAAATAAGAACAATGTATGTTCCTACCACATCATTTACAAAATACAAACTCTTAAAAATAGGGCTTTTAGAAGAAGAAAACTTTGAACCACGTCAGTGTTTGGCAGAATAAACTGTAATCCCTTGTAGTTCAGAAAGCAGTTTGATTCTGCAAAGTTAAAAGAAAAGTCATGGATTTTTGGTGATGGTGGGAGTTTGCCTTCAGAAGAAATTTCTTGCTCATTTTTGAGTTAAAACACATTTTGCGAAGATAGTTGTTGAACTGGGGGGGGGGGGGGGGGGGTTTTTTTGGGGAGGTTTTGTAATAAATATGGCTAAACCATAAGAAATTGTGTATTCTGAGCCCTGTCTAAAAACACATGACACCATACCTAATCCTTCCCTCTCAGGTTACAATGCACCATACCTCTCTGTGTACAGTGAAAATGCAATTGATATCTTTGACGTGAACTCCATGGAGTGGATTCAGACTATTCCTCTGAAAAAGGTAGCTTTGCTATTTCAATACCAGTTAAAGACTATGTCTCGACTCGATGTTGCTTTGCTACAGTCATACTGATAAGCACATTAGAAGCCAGCATTAAAACTACTGGTTTAAAGATAATTGAACTAAAAGAAGAGCTACTGCAAAGAAACTAGTGCTTTTTGTTCAAAATTTAAGGTGTGAAATGTGTTTTGCGTGTGGTTTCACTGGTTTAGATGAATGGTCAGTCTGGAGACGTGACTGTTCAACTTACTGATATTATTGTAGAGAGCAGTTTCTTGGTATTAATTGCATATGGCAATCGGAACTGATTGCGTCTGTGTTACTGCCAGAAAATGATGGAGGTTAAGAAAATTAAACAGGCCTTCAAAAATCTTATCTTATGTGCTGCTTGAGAACATTATAGACAGATAGGGTTAGACCATATTGGTTCAACCAGTACAAATATAAAAAACAGGATGATGTCAGGTTTGGATCATTTATCAAAAGGAAGAAGGTTTTTGAAAACTGACATTTCCTTGCTATTTAGGAGGTGTTTGCTCAGCTGTATTTGGAAAGAAAAATGACAAGTGTTTTTTTTCCCCCATAGTTTAAACTGGCTTCAACTTTGTATTAGCATCAACATAATTCCCCTAACTGGCATTCCAGTGACATAGAACTGCAAGAAATTGTCCTTGTGCTCTTGTCAGTCATTCAGTCTCTCTGCATACCAATTTCCCACGTGTCAGATGCAGATAAATAATGCAGAGATCAAGGTGCTCAGCTATTAACCATCATCTTAAGGAGAGAAGAAGAATCTGACCTTTTAGAGGAAATTTCCTTTAGTCTTTCTGATATCCAAACTTTGAGTTGTTAAGCAGTTGGAGCAGTTTTTTTCCTACACAGCAGAATGTGATTTAGTACTCTGATTAGTATTTGGCTTAAGACTGCCCATTTAATGAATGAAGCTACTTTCAACAAACAAGAATTACTCCATCTAGGAGACTCAAAATGTCAATTTATTATGAAGAGTTTGTTTCTAGCACAATTTGAGGAATCAGAAAGTGGAATGCTTCTTTCATTTTGAAGTCAGAAATCACAAACACCAGTAGGTTTTAGTGATCAGTATATATACTCTTGTCAAGTTGCAAAGCATAATTGTGACATGATACTAACACAAAATAAAAGCACAGCTTACTGCTTCGTGCGTCTAATAGACAAAATTGAATGGTTGTATGAAGTAGACTTCTAACAGAACTATTTATGTAAATACTGGGAGGAATGGTGTTAAGCCTGTGTCTTTGTGTGGAATTTTAGGTAACTCCCTCTGGACTCATTCTCCAAACAGAAGTTTAAAATCTAAAATTGTTTTTAACTCTGCTTCGTGGCTTTAATGACTCAAAATTGTTATTCTTGAGAGCAGGCGTGTGTTACTGGAGATAGGAGATGCTGCTCCCTCCAGCCTGCAGTTCTTCTGTGGAGCAGGGTTTGCTCTGGCCAATTTCACCACCCTAGAGCTTTCAGAATAAGATGCATTATGTAAATGTGAGTTATTACTATTACAAGAACTGGTTTTCCTTGTTTCAGGTACGACCCTTGAATACAGAAGGATCACTAAACCTTTTAGGCCTGGAGACAGTTAGATTAATATATTTCAAAAACAAAATGGCAGGTAAGTAAAGAGAAGCCAATTTTCCTCATCCAGATTTTTGTTTAGAAAGAGCATTTTTCTTTGGCCTGAATCTGTGCGTTGTAGAAAGTGATCTCTCAAATGTATGGGTGCTTGTTAATTTGGGAAGAAATGAAAGCTTTATATATTCCACAATGATTGCAATTACGTCTGCTAGGCAGCTACTGTGAACTTGTTTTTCCCTTTTGAATATTCAGTGAAGACTTCAGTGAAGACTGAAAATTGAAAATAGAATGGCTAGACGCTCCCTCCAAATCTGAGATCACCTGCCAGAACACTATCTAAAAATGCCTGCACAATTAAAGGCTTTAATAGTGATCTTGGCAGTACTATATTAAAATTAATATTATGCTTAACCTAAACAAACCTTTCCCAAGGATCAGAAAATAATATTCATAACTTGCTATTAGGCTACATAGAATTGTGCGCTCCAAAGTTTTGGCGTCAGAATTCTATTTTTGCTATGAGTCTTTTTGACCTTTCTTTTTAGAGCCCATTTCATAAGCATGCTCCTGAGTGATTTTCTTAACCTTTTATTTAACCTCTTAGGTGGAGAGGGCATGTGCTTTGTTTTAACAATCAAAAGGTTTTGGGTTTTTTTTAACAACTATTCTGAAAATAGTGGAAATAAACACTCTAGAAATGTATACTGCTGTTAGCAGTGTTTCAGTGTTTATTTAAATTGCTATCAAATTAATACAAAAGGAATGACAGTGGTGGAGAGGAGCAATAATATGGTCAAAGTGTGTATAAAGAATTTTCAAGTCCAATAAAGATTGAACATTAAAAGTAGAGCAGAAAAGAAAAAAAACTGGAGAGCATAGGATCAGAAGTAAGTAAGGCTGATACTTTGCTCCTGCACACTACCTACTGTCTTTCAGAAAAGATTGCCGAACAGTAAAGTATCCTCCAGGTGTATCTCCTTAAAAGTCTGCAAGTTTTTTTCCTGCAGCTACTTACATTTTCTTCCTGAAGTTACTTACTTAGTAGATCCCACACTTCATGAAATCTCCAGTTGATCTTAAAGAAAGAAGAGATTTCAGTTCCATACAAAGACTGTTTTAGCAGTAAGCAGTAGGTGTTGGGTATGTTCCAGTTTATTAAGCATGCCTTTAGTCTCCATATATATAAAACAAGACAGAGCAGTTGCAACATTAATGCAAAGTAGTGCTCCTATTTTATGATTATCAGAGCTGTACATTTCATGTCTTTATTAAAGATGCCTTGGCCAGACCTACACATGTGGAAAAAATCTTCCCTTTTCCCACAGTTGCACCAAAATACATCAGTGTTCAAACATTTCAAAAGGAAGTTTCTTTGGAGCAGGGAATGAATGAAAAATGATCTTGCACTGAGTTTCCAGATGACTGGCAGAACAAGACTGTTCTTTGATTTTCAGTGAGAACTGCAGGAGAAAGTTTGAGATAGAGGACTGAGGTCCTTTCCTGCCCACCTAAATGTTTTGTTTGAAAGAATTAATGAGTGGTATTTTGAGAACATAGTTGTGGCAGCTTATATGTGAAGAAGGATTAAGTCTGTTGCTATATATCAGAGTAGATAATGACCAAGAAAACTCATAAATCGAGGAGCATTTGGGAAATGGGTGGTGTCGAACGCTAGCAAATGCAGAGGAAGAAAATGTCTTTGAATTCAAATTCCATGAGTCATAGAATGGCATAGGCTGGAAGGGACCTCAGAGATCATCTAATCCAACCTTCCTGTCATGGGCAGGGACGCCTCTCAACTAGACCAGGCTACGCAAGACTCCGTCCAACCTGGCCTTGAACACCTCCAGGGAGGGGGCATCAACAACTTCTCTGGGCAATTAATTCCAAAGTCTTGCCACCCTCGTACTGAAGAATTTCTTCCTAAAATCTAATCTAAATCTGCTCTCCTTCAACTTAAACCCATTTCCTCGTGTCCTATCAGTGGACACTCTTGTAAAAAGTCCCTCCCCAGCCTTCCTGTAAGTTCCCTTCAGGTAATGAAGTGTCCCACTGGATCATGATATTTATATTGGTTTCAGAGGGCGATGAACTGGTAGTTCCTGAGACTTCAGATAACAGCCGGAAGCAAATGGTTCGAAACATCAACAACAAGCGCCGCTATTCATTCAGAGTACCTGAGGAGGAGAGGATGCAGCAGAGGAGGTCGGTATTCAACATGTACTTGTCTTCTGTGCATGCCTGTAGGCCCTGAAGAACAGTGAGTGATGCCAATGTAGTACTTCATTTGTTGCTTTCTGGAGTGCCCATTCAGATGTTTCTGTCTCTTCACTGCTGCCTTAATCCTCAATGTTTAATTTGTGTTAATATCAGTTTGGATATGGATATGCATTGGATATGCAAGTATTCATTAGTTCAAATTAATTATGTGAAACAGCTGTAATTTGGAATGCATGTCTCCACATACTGTATATAGGTACATAGGTGTGCACATATACTGTATATATAAAGATCTATAATAAACACTTTGCAAAAGGAGATTACATTGCTAACTATGCATATGGATTAATTACTTTCAGACTCTGGTTCTGCTTTTCTTTCTGAAGGCAATTCTACTCTCACCAGTATTCCAAGGCATCTGCTTTTTTGATTTATAGATTTAACTACATAAACATTCTATAAATCTCAGAAAACTCACCTCTTCAGAGGACATAGGACTTCAGGATGTGTTTCTAATAGAAGTCTTTAACAGGTCGCAAATACTTTCTTAAATGGCAGTAAAAATAGGTCTGCACTGCTCTCAGTGTTCACAGAGGATGTTACTGACCATTTGCTATCACTCACTAAAGATGACCTGCTACTGTGCTAAGCTACACTCCAGGAACAGAGTGTTTCGGTTTTCTAACCTCCAACGTCTTCCACCGATGGTTGACTCCCAGCTTTCCTTCCTTTTGGCTCTAAGAAAAGTAACAGCTGTGTACAGTGGAGATAAAATTCCAGTTCTTGTCCTTGCTTTTCTGAGCTGATCGCGGTTTGGTCTTTTAAAATTTTATTTATTCTGAGTTCTGAAATGCATCCTTGCCATTTTGAAGAGCTTTTAATTCTGACCACAGACTGAGAAAGGTACTGCAGTATTATTTTAATTCTCTTTCCATATTTGTACTTCATTTTCATTTCCACTTTGTAATACATCACAAATGAGTTGTGCTTTTACTCATCTTACAGAGCTTTTTATCGGCTCATAGTGTTTGTTTATTCTTTGAATATTAGTAATTACTGGGCATGGGCTGTTAGCCTGCAAACAGCATTCTTTTGTTCTGGCCCCTTCAAGCTAGAAGCTTGTCAATGCCAATGCTTATAGCAAGGGTTTATCACTGTTAACATGGTTAAATAGTTAATTTCCATTTAAAAGTAGCTGATAATCAAAGCTGTACTTCCTCACCTCAGATGAAATATCTAAACAAAGTATTTTGTCTTCCAGGGAGATGCTACGCGATCCAGAAATGAGAAATAAATTAATTTCTAACCCAACTAATTTTAACCACATAGCACATATGGGTCCAGGAGATGGTATACAGATTCTCAAAGACCTTCCAATGGTAAGTACAAAAGTACATGTGAAAGTGACTGACTGCACCAGAGGCTGCAGATGACAGAAGAGACAAGTACAGTTTTAAATGTACTTTCAGAGTGTTGATGTATTTCGTATCAGGAGCAGTGTAACTGGGGAAATAGAGCTGCACATGGTGTGCTGCATGTGGTAAAAATGACATTCAAGCGTCTAGGGAGGAGGAGGAGTGGCTAATGCCTCCTGGGTTTTAAGGCAGGTTGGCCTCTCAGTGTCAATGATAATTTTTAAGACCATATGAAGGGACAAAATTAAGAGGATTTGAGGCTGTGTTCTTTGTGGAAATAGAAAGAGAAATTCCTTTCTCCGTGAGCTGTATTACTGTAAGTTCAATTCCTTTCTTCTCTTCCCATCTTTAGCTCCAACTTGCCCTCTCTTCATAGCCTCTTTTCCTCAGACAGTGGAAGTGTAGCATGTAGCAGTTCAACAGTGTGTAATGCCCAAATTTCTTTCCATGCCAAAGATGCTGTTTTTCATTTTCTCTCCAAAATAACCAGTATCAATGAAACAGAACTTCTTACATAAGAACTAACCTTTTAAGTTGAGAAATGGAAAAAGGAAACATGTAATAGCACACACACGTTTGTCGCCTTAAAACCTTATGTAGGGAATATTCACCTGGAAGTTACTGTAATTTTTGATGCGCTAAAGACTAATTATTATTTTGTTCATAGGAGAGTATCATACTGCTTGCTTCAAGCTACCTTGAGCATCTTATTTATGTGTTCTGTATTGTTTTCTAAACTCGTCCATGACGACATAGATGTGATTCAGAAGATGCTAATTAGCAGTGTAAGAGATCAAACGATATGATATCAAACACATTATATGAGTACCACCGTAAGACGTAGTGCAGAAGTTCTGTCTAAAATGATCATCGTTATTACTTGGAGATTGTGCAGAAAGCAGGAAGTAGATGCTGAAATTGAGATTTTCAGATGCTGAAAAGCCCAAAGGAGACAACAGTAAGTCTGGAAAATAAAGTGTGCCATGCAGTTGCAGTAGTTTAGGAGCTTAGGAGCATAACCTCTGGTCTCCAGATGCTCATTTTACCTCACTTTTGCAGCAAATGGTACTTTTATGTTACCCATAAACATAAAGTACCATTTACCATAAAGTCTGCACATTGTACAGGAACCTTTCTGGCACTTGTTTTTCCTTAGATGAGAATATGCAAGGAAATTATTTACTTTAGATTCTGTGTAGAGACACTCTGAGAAACCTCTCAGTAACAAACATATTCAGTGCAATTGAGCTAAAACCAACATTGTGTGTCTATGTGTATGTATGTTTATAAACGAATAAATAATGAAGGAGCTGCTTCTAGAAAAGACATGACAAATCCAAGGGAAGTTGGCAGGTAGCGTTTATCTTACCTGGATGAGAGTATACATATGTCTAATGTTAAACAAAGAATGATAAGGCTTTAATTAAGAATTAAGAATAATGAGGCTTTGGGCAACCTGGTGTAGTGAAGGGTTTCCCTGCCCATGGCAGGGGGTTTGGAACTAGATGATCTTTGAGGTCCCTTCCAACCCGAACCATTCCATGATTCTATGATTCTATAGTTTGCTTCAGGGCGGGATGTAGATCAGAACCTTATTTCACTTTTCCATTTCTAGTGAGGTCTTTCAAATATTTCTCGCTCTTCTCAAGCAGGGAAAATGATCTGCTACTGCTAAAGGTAGGGCAAAAGACATCCCATTTCACACCATCAGCAGTTGAAAGTTCATGGGAGTCAAAAGCTGCAAGGACTCTTAATCAAGCCTCAAATCTGGCAAGTGTAAAATGAGGAATGATTTTATCTACAGAAAGGGATTTTCTAGACTTACATGGATTAATATTTCTTCTGCTATGTCATCTCTAAATGGCTTTTAGCTTTGAATTCGTTCTAAGTACGCAAGCCTTGTATTACCATAAAGGTCATATTTGAAGTTAGGACTGGTACTTTGCTTCGTACCAGTCAATATGATGTTTTGAAAGAAATTCATGTGTCACTTTCCACACTTAAAAGTGTTGAGGAGACTTCAGAAAATGTGTGCAATACAGAATAGATTTCAGCATTCCTTCTTGCAAGTAGCTACCAATCTTAACGCTGGGAGACGTCACTGCAGATAAAGCAAATTTGTTATGTGTTTTTCCAGCAACTCCTTGCAATATCATATTGTATTTGTGTTCCTGACTTAACAGATACAGAATTGCGTCAATTATGGGACTTGAAAGTGTGTGAATTTGAAAATGTAATTTGAGGTTAGGAAATTAATGTTCTGTCAGGAGCTACTACAGTCCAGGCAGCTTGCTTTCCAACAGCTCCCTGTAAGGTGTTTGTCTGGACTAAGTTTTCATTTAGTCTGTTCCAAACTACTGACTGTTTCTCGAGCACAAAAATAGAAGAAAAGGAGTTGTGCGTGTGTGTGATGTTATGTATTGAGTCTAATGTTTTATTTGAAAGATAAATTTAGAATTAAAAGAGAGGATAGAAATAGAGAGGACATTCCCTGGAGAATCAGTACACAAGGTAAAGAATACTCATCCAGCCCTGTGTGCAGTTCATCTATATGGCAGTTTCTTTATAAGAACATGGAATTATTTTACTAGATTCATACCTTGCTCCAAAAAGGTGAATAGATTTTTGTGTGTGTGTGCTTTTTAGCGTGTGTGATGATTTTGCAGCTGGAACATCTTCTTCGTATTTTTTAAATAGATTAGTATGTTTCAGCAGAA